CTCTTCTGCCTCCGTCACAGAGTCTATGACTTGTCCCATTACCATAGATGTGGATTTCCTCTGTAGAGTACGCTCAAAGCTAGCATCTCCTCCTAGATGAGAAGCATCCTTAGTTACCTGGCTGAAAAAGTCATCACCCCCCTCAACATCATCCTGCGTAAAGGCATTTCCAAGACCTGAAGCCTCAGGTTCGTGATGGTTCTCTAGGCCATGCTGTTCGCTTTGTGGAATCAATGGTAAACCCTCCTCGAATCGAGCATCCGACTCCTCCTCTGCAGCACCCACAACCTCTCCACCAACATATTGCTGGGACGTGCTTCCATTTGCACCAGTTTCATCGTCGACGGGCTGATCTTCGCCAAGAGTATCGGGAAATTCAGATTGTGCGACTGGGCCGGTGTCCGAATCGTCCTTGTCCAAGTCATGCAGGATGTCTTGGGCCTGAGTTGATGAAGGTGGGTGATCAAATTCGTCCTCAGTCGCATCCTCTCTTTGCGGTACGGCGGGAAATGAGTTTGTCCTCTCATTCGGTGGCATGAACTTGAAAGGGTCCGTGTCCGATCGCTGCAGGCTCAACTCGCTATCCTCGTCATCGTTAAAGCTTACCTCGTGAGACACGGTACGCGCAAACGAGGTTGTGCTGGAATGTTTGGCCGCGTTGCTCGTCCGAGTAGTTTCCGCTTGGGCAATTTCGTGCTCGTAATCAGGTACGACAGCATCGTCACCTTGCGCAGTCGCAGCGTGTGAAGCTCCTGAAAGATCCCATGGGTTATCCCCATCGTCATCATGATTAAATTGGTCTAGAAACGTGCCGTCGCTTGGTTGTTGAGGCTTAGCGCCTTCTTCTATTATTTCGTTATTTGACATATCCTGAGCTGAGTGCTCAATCGCGTGCTCGTTATCGGCATTCACATCTTGATTCTGCGTCGAGTCGAGCTCTGATATTTGGTTGTTATCGTTATTAGTGTATGGCATCTTAGCCGGATGCCACGTCGCACTTGAGGCATCCATCTCCGAGTACAATGATCGCGAACTAGATAAGCATCGAAATAGAAAGGCGCCCGTAAAGTAGAATTAGGAAACGGTACTGCGAGATCGGGACCAGTTAGTTTTGTAGTTCACAATAGTATCGGGTCATCAACAAATACGGGACGAAGGTCGCATGCCAGATGCTAAACCAAGTTGATAGGGGCAAACAGCGCGATGCCATAATTAGATAGCAAGGGAATGGGATGGATCGCGCGACTCATAGTAAAACAGAAACCAACTCACTTATACAAGAACAACTAATAAAGACGTTTATTCTGGACTCGTTACAAGCCAAACTCCATGATTATTTTTTTTAGAGGAGCAATTGTCGTTATTGCTTTCTTAAGGCACTTGGGAGGAAATTGAGAGGAAAAATGGGAAAGTTGAGGCAAAGTGGCAGATCCACAAGAGGTTTTACATACCATCGTCCGTTGAGGCCATGTTCTCATCAATGACCCATGTACCCATGCAGCTTATGCACAGCACAAACCCACGCTAGGAGACACCTAGGTTAGCGGGACTACAAAAATAAATGACATAACCACGATGGAATCTTACATAGAAGACAACATGTCCCATTATTGTAATTATCCGACAAGTCAGCGCATGCCGAATAATTCGACTAATCGAGTTAATACCTAGGTAGCCATATATAGCTTATATCTCTCAAGCCCGAATATTATTCTGCCGGTGGGCAATAAAATCTGGCATTTCTGCTTATTCGATAGTGATTAAGTTGTTATTAATTTAATAATACATATTTTTTAGGTGTAGGTATACATGCAGACATGGAGACGACCTGAGGCACATGACGGGAGTACCCAAATATGTACATGTACCTATGGCGGAATCTTGGTAGATGAGTACATGTGAATGGGAACTTGATGTAAAGCACGGGCAGAACGGGTCCCTGATTCCGTGCCTGCATCGTTTCCATTCCCTGATTTCTTTATGATTGGTTAAGTCATAGGTGGATTCCATCAAGCTTCGGCAACCAATTAACAACATAAACTCCAGCCCTGGAAGCTTATTTTTAGGTATCGGCCCTTCGCACGGTGCGCTCCGATGTCCGACTTCCAACTCTCCGGTTCAAGTCTCTGGTTCGTCAAGCACTCTTAAACACTCTTTAAATCTTGATCGTTGATCGACGACGTATCCGTTAAGCAGTCAACTTCAGGTCAAACGATGAATAGTACATATGATACGGCGATAAGGAGTTATGCAGAGAAACCTTTATTCCGGCTTATCACAATCTCATAGCTGCTACCCCTTGTTCTCCCTGTCTCCGTGCCGCACGATATATTATCCCCAGATTTCTCTCCACTGTCCTCTAACGTCCTTCATTAAAACTTCAGATAGATATCAGCCCGCGCCCGTCCCGTGGTAGGAGCCGCAACCAGCTCGGAAATCTTCCGAAGCCGTGCCGCACTAGTTTCGTAGACAGCCGGCACCCCGGTCTCCGAAAAGGGGCGGCCGTCCTGGATTATCTCGGCTAGCCCCTTTGCGCATAGCAACACGTTCGGCATGCCGTGACCGTCGAAGCCGGCGCAGATGTATTGCCCCGGCTTAGACGGTATGTGGCCGATGTGTGGCGCACTGTCTGCAGAGTACTATGAGCCTGAGTGTTAGTCTAAGTGAGACTATCAAGAGATGATACCCCGATATAGCATCAAGAAGAGTCAAGACACTCACGCCCATAATACCCGTCCAAATACTCTCCGTCTCCGTCTCCGTCCCCTCCCACCCTGTAAACGTCCTCGCAGCCCAGCGGTCAAAATATGGCACCGTAGACTCAATCAAAGTTGAGTCGTCGTAATTCCTATACCACTCTTCCCTCTCGTCGACAAACGCGCTCTTCCCGCCTCCCACAATAATACTCCCATCCTGGCGCAAACCATAGTATGAATCGATCGAATTCGGGCTCTCCATTTCCAGCCCAGCCGATCCCAGCGGTATATCCGTGGCCGGCGCATCCGGCGCATCCGGCACGACTCTACACACAGTTCCCCGAGCCGCATAAATCGCATCATCGTACTCCGGCAACAAACCCGCCGTATACGCATTCGTCGCAAAAACAACTCGTTTCGCCCGCGTCGCCCCCCTACCCGTCGCCAGCGTCCAATAGCCCTCCTCATCCACCGTCTCAGAAATCCCATGCACCGTTGTCTTCGTCTGCAAATTAACCCCTTTTCCCACCGCCCCCTCCAGTAAATGCATAACCAGCTTATACGGCCAGACCACATGCGCCGGGTACGTAAACGCGACCTTGGCACCAGCGATTCCCGATACGCGCTCTGCGTCGCTCGGCCCGTGGTATGTGACGGAGCGCAGCGTCGGACAGTTGAGTTTCGTCATGGCGTCCCATAGCTTCTTGATCTTAGCGGCCTCAGCTGCGTCCACGAACACGTCGCCCGTGGTTACCGCGTGCAGGTCGCAGTCGATACCTTCGTCGCGGACGAGTGCGACAACTGCTTCTGCGTTGGCGACTTCGAAGAGCGCGACTTGGTTCGCAGTTTCTAGGCCTTGCGCTTGCATGCGCGCTGCGAGCGCAACGAAGAGGTCCGGGCGGATGTGCCCACCTAGTATATGTTAGTAAGTACCCGAGACATAAGATCGCAAGTCAAGGTGATATGAGACTGTAGGTAAAGTATAGTGCGGTAAAACCCACCGTTCCTAGCAGTGGCCCCTGAGCAGGCTTCCCGGGCCTCCAAGATAGTAATACTTGGCTTCGGTTCGTTCTCGGGACTATCCTTGAGCAGATAGTGCGCTAGAGCCGCGCCCGCAAACCCGGCACCGATTATGACGATGTCCTGCTTCTCGGGGAGCTCCGGGGTGCTACGGTGGGAGTCGAGATGGTGTAGCTGCGTCCGCCAGTACGGGGCTGTTGCGTTCTTGACGGGGAATGGACCGGCCATTGTAGTGATGAGCATTGAGATATTAGTATTAGAACTAGAATTACGAGTAGATTTTTAGATTTTTAGTATATATGTCGATATGTTGATATTAACGTCTCAAAGATAAGGTATTGAACTTGGTTACTTGTTTGTTTGCTTTCGCTGTGATGCTATCGCCATATTTGTGTTCGTGATGAACCCATTCTTATAGACTTATACTCAACTTTATCGTCATAATGTGAGATATGTGTTCTACTTGCTTTAAATGAGTCACTTCTAGAAGCCGTCGTCATCAAATGCGCAACAACTCGAAATACCGTACCAGCCTAGATACTCTCCATAGTATGGTTATAGGTTATGTAAGAGTAGTGCGCGGACTATACAGCATCGTCAGCATACGCGATGTATACTCCAATACCGTCTATCTACTTCCTAGTCCCTCCATCATCATCAACATCATCACGATAATCATGTCCAGTGATAAGTTAGCCCTCACAAGCGACATGCACTTCATATCAGTGTACGTCAGCAAAGCCATAGTCCTAGACTACATCCTCTCCATGAGCAATCGAAAGTGCGCGTAGAAATACGTAGTCCTACACATCGCACCTTCGGCAATGACTCTACTCTACCTCGGATCACACATGGTGGTGATTGTTAATCCTATACTCCTTCCCCCCTCCCCCCCTCCGGCATTGTATAGACATACGTAGCATATATTTCGCAGTTCTATACTGGGTTCTTAGCGTGATGACGATACCATTCCTGGATAGGGCTGACCATTGCAGACTCTAGCAATTGAACGTAAATTATACCTCACCGCTCCTCAGCCCTAAGAAGTTTACGGCAGGAGATAAGGTATAGGTAGTCGAAAGCGGCCGGTCGCGCATGTGACGTTGTAGTATAAAGCGCTCCTCCAAATGGAGCCTCAATCGCATCATACATGAGTGATGACGCGGCTTAGATAGCCCACGTAAGGCCCTGGTAGAAACGAACGTTTCAATGTTCTGAATAATCGCAGCCTTACGTGCTTATCATTGAATTTATAGGAGAAAAAACGAGATACGGCTTATGTGTTAAACATCAAGAAATGTTATATTCACGCATAAACCTAAGAACAGTTCTCAGGTTCTAGTCCAATAGGATTGGCCGAATATGTCAGTTGACATGACTATTATTCTCTTAAATATATACTTGCCACAAGCGCCCATGCAAAAGTTCCGTATGCCCTTATCAAACCTCAACCGATGGTATACCTCAACGCCTGTCGCAATGCTGCTCAAAAAAAAAAAACCCAAAGACCCTTAAAAACCCCGTATGATTTAATTTCTCTGTCGCTTATTAGAAAACCCATCCCTACCCGAACTCTCCCGAGCCCTCTTCCTCTCAATCTCCTCCTTCATAATGCGCTCAGCTTCGCTCATCTTCTTCGGCTCTCCAAAAGCCGGTGCTTTCTTGGGCGCTCCCGCGAGCGCGTTCTTTTTCGCAGCCGCGAAGACGTTCTTGGGTTGGGGCTTCGCTGCCATTTTAAGTGAAATGGGAGCAGAAGCAGGTTTTTGGGTCGTGGGAGGTTGTTCTTGTGTAGCTGTTGACTCCTCTTTCTTCTCTGCGTCTTTTGGTGGCGACGCTGATGTCTCTGGGGTAGATTTATCTGGAGAGGATGTTGATGCCGGCTGAGTAGCGGGCTTGACGCCAAAGGAGAGCTTGATCTTCTCTCCCTCTTGTCTCTTGAGTGCTTTGCCCTCCGAATCGTCCACCTCGTCCTCGTTTTGCTCACCCGCTTCCCTCTTCGCGCGCTTGATTTGTTCCTTGATTAACATGTGTTCGCGCTCCTCGTCTCCTTTATCTTGCATCTCCTTCCTCCGCACCGCTTCTTTTCGGCGTAAGGCATCTGGAGAGTCGTCTATCCATGCGATATGAATTCCCTTATCATTCTCCTCGACCCTGCAAATTCCTTCCCTTCCCAGGTGCTTTGCAAAGTCGGTAAGAGAGTGCCATTTCGTAGCATTCATATGGACGTGCTCCTTGTTGGCGATGTAGTTCTGGTAAAAGTGGTTGATCTGCACTTGCTTCTCTCCGTGGGAGGTTCGCAGCAGCTGTAAGAAGTCCTTGAGGAACTGGTTGCTAAAGTCGTCGATATACTTCTTCGCATCCTCGCCAACTAGCAGCATCTTCCTCGTGTGGGACTCGCTTTGGGTGTGCATCTTGAACGCATTGGCGTCCCTGCATTGCTTTTCGCATATTTGGCAGTACCATCGAAGTCGCTGTAATCCCTTCGATTTCATTTTATTGTTCAGGTATTTCGTCGATCCAAACTCTGCTTTCGGCATTTTGGCGGTATTGGTCTGGGTTGATCTGTGTTCGTGATATAAGTATTCAAATTATCAGTTAAACAAGAGTGTCGTGTAGCGGTTAGAGAGATTGATGATTTGCAACGGTGATGGTTGATGAAGAAGTCGTTAACGTCCAAATGGCTTGTGAAGATTATGCGACAGACAGTGATGAACCTTAGATAAGAAAGGGCAACTGCATGTGTGGCGCTGCAGCGCTGCAGCTGTTGACTTTATCGATAAGGTTTATCCCTGCTATAGCAATGGGTCCATAGGTAGCTGCCGAAATTCGGCATACTTGATTAACCTAGAGGCAAACAACGAATCAACGCCCAGATTTAACCTCAAACTTACCCAGCTAGGCAAATACTGAAAATAACCATCATTACTCTAGGCATAGTTGGACAAGAACATCATTGATCACGAATTTAAAATCAAATCGCCTCATCTATTTAAACACGCTTTAAGTAGATCAACGCCTCTATATCTATCAAGCTTTTATAGGTAGCCAAGCATAGGTAGCTTTAGCTCTAGGTATCGGGGCGTGTTGATGCCAAAGCCCCTTTTTCAACAACTGCATACTGACTAACCACCGTTTTATAGTAACCTATTTCACAAACACGAAACATGTATATCATGTTAAATGCAAGTATACCTTGCTACTAATCGAGGAATGTGAATAAGTTTGTATGTAATATACTCATAGCCCTCGTAGCCTCCCTTGCGTCGATAACACACGAGATATTGATCTCACTTGCGCCTGTTGTCATAGTTAGCAATATATCCAAAAAGCACACACACTACTCGCGGTTACATACCTTGTGATATCATCTCGATATTGATGTTATGTTCTCCCAGCGTCGAGAACATGCGGCCAGCAATACCCGTCATATTCTTCATCTCTGCACCGACTAGACTTAGAATGGCCATGTCGAGTAATATACTTACATCTCCGCATTCTTCTAGCTCTGCCATGGCTTTTTCGAAATGGCGGACGGACGGACTCGATGAATGGATGGCCATTGACACGTGAACCTCGCTTGTAGAGATAAGGTCCACGGATATTCTATGGCTGTTGAGGATTGAAAACACTTTGGCGAAGAAACCGTGAGAAATGGAACGTTTGTTCGAGTGTACGTTGATGACAGTAATGTTGCTCTTGATAGAGACTGCAGTAGGTCTCCGAGGATGTTTCCGTAACGAGGAGTCCGAAGGCCGGGATCTCCTGATCTTCTGTGCTGGAGACTGGACTGGATCTGGGACCACGACGGTACCATTTCCACGAGGATTGTTCACATTCTTAATGCGAATTGGTATCGGCGGATCCGCTTTGATTACTTGATCCATCGTTAGGTGGTGAATGACTTCAGAACCGTAGAATGTGAGTTCTGCTGCCTCTGACGGGGTAATAGACGCGAGTAGCCTTGCTGTTGGCACTTTGGTGGGATCTGCCGTGAATATGCCGTCCACCTCCTTCCATATCTGCAACTCTTGGGCCTTCACTCCCACCGCGACTAGAGCGGCACATAAGTCGGTATATCCTCGTCCAATATCTCCATCCATTAAGCTTCCAGGGACATTGCCGAAGAAACCCGTGACTACAGGCACTCTGTCATTGCAGGCTTGTATCCTCTTCCGGAAAATAGCTGCTGCGTCTTTGTAAAACGCTGGACTTAATCGGTCGGAACTGTCATAATGCATAACATCAGACAGGTCCACGTACTCTGCGTCGACATGCTGCAAAGATTGTCAGTTAAATAGGATAATGCCTTATCTGGAATTTGAACGAACCCTATCTCTCAACAAGTAGGTCATAAATCTGCAACTCAACTTCTCTCCGAAGCTGACTACTCGATCCTTGGATCTCGCGTTGACTTCCAAGTTGAATCGCTTAGCCGCAATGATATAGTCTATTAATTCCTGGCAGTCCTCTTCTATGCTGGACGATACAGATTTTTGCAGGTCGGGATTCTTTATCCACTTCTGCGCTGCTGCGACATGGTCGACGCAGATGTCTCGTATAACAAGCTTGGCTTTTTCGACGAGCTCATGCTGGGTGACTTCATTACTCGTCGCTGCTGATATAGCACGTAAATTCTTATAAACTTCTAGCAGCCTATATGAATATATCGTGTTAGATCAATTGGGCTAATCGCCCTTTCATAAAGCATTCAATGACTCACCGGCTGGTAGTACCGGTCACCTTCTTGCCAGAGCTTCTAGCAGAGCAAATGACGGCAATTTTATTCGACCTTAAGCTTGCTCTTATCATAGAGTCAGTAACGTCTCGTAGAGGGACAAAGTTGCAATCTCATACCGAACAATTCCTTCAGCAATCTATATTCAAGTCGGACAATGTTAGTCATACTATATTGGGCAAGAAAGGGTCGGTGCATCACAAACGCTGTCTGGGAATTTCCCGACACTTGTGCCTCCGAACTTTTGTACTATCCAGCCCTCACTGCTGGTGTTGCCCTGGAGTATAGCGTCCATGGCCATTATGAGATATGAATGAATGAAATAAAATTCCGCCTCGGTGTTGGCGAGATTTTATAGTAGTAAAGGCAACTGAGTATGAATAATGTAGAAGTGTGTGCGTTGATGGCGGGGCAGATTCGGTGTAACTAAACTGAGTTACAGTTTGAATGTTCTCTAGAATTGGTGATACAAATCGTATATGTTTGGTTCAAATGAAAGAAGAGAGAATATAGTAAGTAGGCAATTGATTGGAAGGATTAGGATATATTTGGCAGGCACTCACTTGATCTTCGGATTCAGACATAAAAATTGAATTAGTCTTCGCTAGAAAGGGGCCCCGAATCGGAGGTTCTACGGCGGTGCCACGCCACGGCCCACAATTAGTCGGTAGCGATGAATGCATGTACGAAGTACTGTAACTTATAGTCGAATTGCGGGGCATAAAGGCGGGACCCCTATTCCCTTTTCGCAGGTAGTCTGTTTCTCGTGTAATTGAGGTCATAAGTTAAACATGCATTTGAGGCTTATCTACCACGATTGTCACTTACAAGACACGTAAGAAAAGTAACCATAGTATAAGAATCCCTCAGAGCGCAACTGGCTGCGCGTGGACAGATGTAAATAGCTACGGGTATCATACAAGCCATGTTACACAAGTATTCAGACCTCCTATCCTATCGGAGTACCAAGGCGAATATCCATGCCGCCCCTTATACACCTGGGGCCAAAACCCCTCCTCCTGACCATACATGCATTTTGTCCTTTATGAAATCAAGGACCAACTATACCGGCCCAACCCTCAAAAGCTCTTTTCCGTGCCTCGAAAATGTACGCCCTGTCCGTTACAAAATTACCACTTAAACGATCCTGCCAGGTATATACCCCGAAATCCTCAAACCATGGGGTCCTGGCTGTCTATCGTGTTCGGTCATACCGTCATACCTTCGTGTACGTAGGTCATGTCTTACCCGATCGGGCAAATAGTTAAACAACACCACCGACACCGAATATTAATATATAGTCTCTAAAACCCCGGAGACTCGTACTTATCCTATTGGACGGACTCTTCTAAGTTGAGAGAATGTAGGCTCTGGTCCTGACCTTCCTGGTAGTCGAATTTTTCCATGGGGAAGTCCTCTTCTGGAGTCCTGATCCCAATTCCGCTATCGTCGTGGTTCACTGACATGTGGAGGGAGTCTGCCCCGTTGACCTCGAGCTGAGACGGGAAAGGGGCGCGGTCTGGTTGCGGCTGAGAAATATGCGAGATACTCTGATCATCGCTGCCAACACGCGAACCTCGTAGGGTCACGTCGTTACCATCTACCGGGGGCCTGATCTCGCTGGCAACGGGCGGCAGCGAGTTCTTCGACTTCATGAAACCACCGTACTCAGCTAGGAACGAAACCATCTCGTCGAGCCAGCACTTCGTTACCCACCACGCTCCAAAGCTATTACTCTGGCGCATAGTAAGATCCCGCATGACCTCTAACCCGACACGTTGCACGCACCAAACGATGTCTGTCGCCGCGGCGTAGGGGAAACGTTTCTGGAGAGATAATAGGAAGTCGACCCATCGCTCAAGGAAGTGCTCCGAGCTGCCATTAGATGCATTTGACGACGGTAATCCTCGTCTGCTGTTGAGTGCTATCTCCCCATAAAGATATTTACACTCTTCACTCCAAGGGACGTTCACGGGGTCGATCAGGTCTCGGATTTCATTAAACAAGAGATCAACTAAATCATCCATCCCTCTAGTTGGGACGCATTCCGCAAGCTTGCGGACCCTAACCCCTGACATCCAATCCAGATACATCTGGTCCCTATTCGCAGAAATCGAAAGCATATTTGCTGCAGCATGAGCTGTGAGGTTAACTCGTAGAGTGCGGTCAAGCAGACCCGCAAAGATAGTAGCAGGGGCCTCCTTGGCCTGGACTACGTGCCTCGGCTGTCCATGAAAAGACTCGCGAATGTGGGAGACTAGTTGCTGCGATATTTTCTCGAACGCGTTCAGTACGGGTTGGGGAATGGCTTGTAAAACGAGGCTGTAGATGATCTGGATCATGCGTTGGTAAAGTACATAATCGCACTCTTCTATCCACGGCGCGATGCTGGGGTGAGAGAAGAGTTTCTGCACGGGCATGGTGAGTGTGCCCTGAAAAGAGGTGTAGAGGTGAAAGAAGGCCTTCTCCTTGCAATAGCGAATACACTCCACTAGGGATGTGCAGTGAGATCGGTAGAGAGCAGTCAGAGACATTGCCGCATCTGGGTCCGTTCCATTGGGTAAGAACGGCTCGATCTTAGGTAGAATGAGAGCCTCAGCTGATTTGGAAGGATGCTCAGGCTCTATAAATGCTAAGCGTATAGTAGTTTTAGCGTTAGATGAATGTAACTGATCGAGATGCTTGACTTCGCATTGGTTATACAAGCTGTGAGTTCGGGAAATTGCCGATCGTGAGCCAGCTGGGGTATCGGATTGCTGCACAAGGGTAGGTGACGGAAGAGCTGAATGTTGTACATCCAATGCAGGGGATTGGGACTGCGCGACACTGTTGGGCATGAGAACAGGCCTTGCAAACGAGTTAGTAGCGGGTGACACAGACCTCAAAGAACGCGCAAAAGGGGCCGGTTCCGGGAAGGGAATCGCGGGCTGGATAGAGGGTTCTCTGGACTTGGGCTGATCACCCAGCAAAGTGAAATCGACATAGTGGTATTTTGATTCTCCACGGACGCCGAGTCTTCGAGTTTTAAGACCAGGGAAAAGGACTCGGACAAGCTTCCCAAAACTAGCAGGATTCAAGACAGTTATTCTTTCCGTCGCACAGCGGGATGCATAGTTGGCATAAACACGGCCTCGAGGCACGGAACCTCTACCCTTCGCACAAACCCCATTGATCCTATATGGAGTCAGAGCCCATCCCATTTATATTTGCAAAAAAAATCTCAACTCTTGAATAACTTACCACAACATAGCGAAGATCTGACGAGCGCGCTCGGAATTAGGCCCACGCTCATTACCATGCAGCTCCTTTGCTACATCCGCGAGAGTACGGCTCTTATTAGCCTGAAATAGTTGGCGCATCTCAAGCTCATTGTTCGCACTAGTGCGGCTCGTAGAGGGTTTCGAGCCTCGCGGTCGTCCAGCAAGCGAGTCAACTTCGTCGGCCTCGTCACGATCCATCATCTGGCTATCGGCGTCTGTGAAACTCGCATTTCCAGCAAAGGTCTCGGCTGATACAGCAGGATGCAGGTTGGGATGTTGAGCGTACGGCATAGCAAGTCCGACGGCAGAGTGCATGCTCGAACTCATCGCGAACGACTGGCCGACCGGCATCTGGGAGGCAGGACGAAGCATCATATCTCCGGCTGGCATGGGTTGAACTGCCGATGACATATCTCTCGGGGGGACGTGATCGTTCGAAACCCACTGATCCGTAAAGGCGCCATGGTGCGCCATTAAGGCTTGCTGATCGAGGGTTGGTTGTGTCGCGACGCTATGGATCGAGGCGGTCGAAGCCCTCGATATAGTTCTCTGTCTCTGGTTATGCTGCGACATTGCGCCGACTTCAAGAGGCTGAGAGTCTATATGATAATTAGAGGACATAATAAGGAAAAGTCATGCGTCGAATTGATGTGAGATCATAGTGGACACTCGGCCATGTTTCGCGGGCTTCGATAGTAAGAATGGCTTACCAGTCTCCATGTGCTTAGGGTTGTTTACCCCCGAACAGTGAGATGCGACCACAATATAAACACAGGCAAAGAAGCGGCGAGTAGCGAAGAAAAGAAACGCGCCACGAGGCGATTAAAGAAAGAATACAGAATAAAGATAAAGTAGAAGCACTACTCGAGATTAGTGCATGTAGTAGAATGTTGAGTATCGCGATGCTGCATCAGTCCGAGCGACAAGCCCTTGACGATTCTGTTGGATGAGAGGCAGAAAATGGCGGAGACGACTTAGCCAAACAACAAGAAAACTCTCGTCGGGGCAACGGTGGATTGCTGAACTGTGGATGGCTGGAAATTGAGCGTGGGTGTATTACCTAAGCTATAGTTACATATTTGTGGCTGGTAAATACCTTTTAAAGAGCAGGGGTGGGTGAAGATAAACCAGGGTGAGAACATTGCATAGAGGTAGTAACTATAGGTACTCGGAAGCTAGTGCTTAAGCTTTGGCCTATGGAAGCCGCGCTAAGTTTGACCTATCACGTGTCAGTAACAACAAAGTTTTTATTTACATACCCGCACTTTCTCCAGTGGGATTCAATAGAGGTATTCCGTACCTTAAGGTACCTAGGTACATATGTATTTTACATTTGAATATTTTCCTTTGCACTGACTACCTCCTAAGCAGTATCATTAATCTTAATATCTGCAACTTCGTACAAATGAAGCACTACTATAAATGAAGACATTAAATATTTTACGTTGCGTACCTGCTCACACAACTGGGTATGTGCTAGTACCTATTTAATTTCGTTCGCGATTACTATCTGCTTGGTGTAATCACCGGGCGGGGTATGCGAAATACCTCCGGAAGATACGTATCTAGATATGCATATATGAGACATGTTCCACGTAGAATTTAGCACAGAAGGTACGTGTATAAGGTAGGTACACATGCTATGTACGGAATACCCGGGCGGATCTGTTCCTCAATCCAATGAAATAGTTATTACGGTAAATTGATTTCACAGTCGTGGCTGGCCTTCCGTCATCGTCTCCTTCGCATCCTACCCACTACGTAATTTCGTTGCTCCCCTTTCCCACAATCCGGCATCCGATTTTTTACAATACCATCATCGTTATCCAGTTCATTAACCGCCTATAAAAGCATACCTACGTAGTCGTGTTTAGTTCATTACCTACCTACCTAGGTACCTAAATAACAACATCGTGCGATACCTCTTTTCTTGCATACTAGCATACCAGCAATACCAGCAAATCAAACTTCCTTGCCGTAAGTCCGGCAGTCTCCGGATCCCACATCCCTAGCCGCCTTGTCCCATTCCTACGTGTACATATTAAGCAAGGTGGCTTTTCGCTAACCCTAAAACATTACCACAGCTACTTTACTTTGACATCAGCAGCAGCTTCTTCCCCCCCGCCTCTGCGCAACCATATTGCCTTTTATCAACTTTCAAGTCCAGACATCTTTCTTCGAACCCTTTACAGCTCTACGAATAAATCATAGAAAAAATGTCTGCACAAGATCGTGTCCAGCATTATATATCCCAGCTCGACCGTGAGGTACGTCATACCGTATACCCTATTCATATATCCTATACCCTGGCCTGTTGGGCTATTTCGATATCGACCGGGTCGCATGCTCCTGAAGACTAACGAGAAGATAGCTTTCCAAATACCCTGCTCTCAACAACCTTGAAAAGCAGTTTGGGGTTCCTAAGGTTTATGCTGTTCTCGGCGTAGCTTCCCTCTACTTATTCTTCATCATTTTCAACCTCGGCGGTCAACTCCTGACCAACTTCGCCGGCTTCGTGGTCCCCGGATACTACTCTCTAGCTGCCCTATTTAGTGCCACCAAAGCAGATGACACTCAGTGGTTGACCGTACGTTCCGTTATTGATCCGGACTAGATTTTTCCTCAGCTAACTTGCTTCAGTACTGGGTTGTCTTTGCCCTCTTCTCGTAAGCGAACAACTACGCGGCCCTCCCATATTGTCCTACGTCACTAATTTATATTACAGCGTTGTTGAGAGCGCCGTCAGTGTTGTCTACTGGTTCCCCTTCTACTATACCTTCAAGTTTGTCTTCTTGCTTTGGCTTTCGCTGCCCATGTTCAGGTTCGTATTTTACTGCATAGCTTTCAGCTACCTCATCGGACTAACGATATGTAGCGGCGCCCAACTTATCTTCCGATCTTTCCTACAGCCAATGCTTGGACGACACTTTTCCGAGTCCGGTTCAACTGCTGCCAACTTGCGCGCCAAGGCCGACTCTTTTGGCAAGGACCAGTAAACTAGCTTATTTGATCGGGCCGCCGCTATGAGCATGGACAAGCAGAGCAATCCACACATGCTCTAGTGGATACAAATTCGTCAAGTTGACATGACTACTGGCACTCGTCAGTGACAGTCCATGACCAGGGTTTCCCACCCTGAAAAAGAATGGAAGAACTATAGTTGTGATGCAGTTGGGAAAGGATCTCTGTCGTGTTGGAGGATGCTATGTCCTTTCCTAGAAATTGTTTCCTTGGACGATTATAGAACTCAGTTGGTTGGTGCGTATAGAGGTTAATCCGTAAATGATATTGCATTTTACCACATTCTTAAATGACCAACTCGATATCAAATGCCTACGACGTACGAAATCCTGGTAGTCGACCTTGCAGTATGTGTATGCACGTCTAATCCTAACGTGATAGGGCAACTTAGGGACTCGACATTCTTGGCACGTTCCTAGCAAGTAGGAATATACTGTTGGATTATCCGAAACTTAATTATACTAATGGCCATATTTCGGACTCTAGAGCGTTTACGTAGGCATTCGTCAGGAGATAATGCATAACGGCCTTATAAATATAGCACATGATGCGACGACTTAGTTATTGAATGCTGCTAACTTTTATTAGTAAATATCCGCGCTGGTTCCTCTTGACGTCGATATTTCGTAGCACAGGGTTCAGACATGCCGATTTTTTCCGCAAGTTCAACCACTGCGCAGACTATCGTGACGACAGATTACACATTTTATTGGCTGAACACTATTGGATTACCAGGCTCAAAAGAGGTCATCATAGCTAATGTAGAATACGGAAAGAAAATCTGCAAGGCTTACATACAATATCATACAGCTCTAAGTTGGCCGAGGTATCTATAGAAATTTCTATGTATGGTTATCGACTGTCCAAACTTGTTTCAGGTCATCATCGCATCATGGTAGCCAGCAGTTAAGGGCCCTCGTGATAATGGTTTTAAACAAGGGATACAATGAAGTTACTCTCGACACACACATCGGAGTCGTCAGCAGCGTGGAAATCAAATTGGCAAGCTGGCGATGATTTGAGTTGGTGGTCTTTTTAAATGTTGAAAAAAGAAGAAAGAGAAACAAAAGTCACCGGACAAAAAGTTCAAAACTTAACATGCCGAAATTTTTCAGACCGGCTCCACTTGCATGGCTCCACCGAATTAGTTACCGTAAAGGCAAGAGCGAGCAGAGCTTAGCCGTTGTGATCACCTGGCGGTCGGCTGGCTAAATTCAAGCCGCCTAAGCAATGAGCAAGAGCGACAAAGGTAACAAAAGGGAGCTAGGCCCAATTTATCATACGCCATAGGAACGCTGGAAAAGTTGGAACTTTGAAACTTCTTCCCCACGAACGAACTCGCCGAATAATTCGATATACAATATTTATACCAAAGAAACCCGTCACTCTTCTCGATATTCACTTTGCCGAAAATACCATACAGCAGTACCGAATAAAATTCGAAAATCCTTCCACCCCTACCTCATCCACAATCCTTAAGATCATCACTTGCATCTTTTCACATCGTTAGATCTGCATACTTGAACCGCCCACCATCTCCCACCTCCCACCTCCCACCTCCAACTTCCCACCTGCACGTGGCGTATCGTATTGGCGAAGCTTCCCAACAGTATAGTTAGAAAGAGCGTGGTTCGACGAGTTTTTGAATTGTAGACGGTGTATTGGTGATACTGGGGAGTTTCAACATACTCGTCCTACTAGGAGCAACCGACGTACGTGCTAGCAGTTCAACATGGATAGACAGGAATCGATATGGACTCGTCGTAATAAGTGAGTCCGACCTTGTCCGTGTCGAGATTCCCGCTTCGTCTTAAGTACTAACCGCTTCTACTCCTGTAGTGTTACCAACCTCTCTCTGTCCACGCCGAGTCAGTCCGATAATTCCACAACCCCGCGGGACTTCTCGAGTCTAGCACGTCGAAATGGCACTACTTCATCCCACGGCCGCTCGAACGCCTTTGGCGCGACGACTCCCGGCGGCACCCTGACCTCTCCTACTAGCGCCGGAGGGGCTAATCAGTTTGGCCTCGGATCCGGCGCATTCGCATCGTTCGGCTCGGCCAAGACTCCCAAGTCTCAAGGAAATCCCTTCGAGCAAGCCATGGGTGCAGTTGGCGCCAAGACCCCCTCCTCCGAGAAGACGGCAAAGGAAGCTATGCGATCCACCGCCGGCAAACCTTCCATGGGCTCCATTTCTGAGACGAGCGCTCAGCAAGCATCAGCGGCATCGACACACCCTCTCCGCGACACGTGGGTCTTTTGGTACAGGCCGCCTATCACTAAGGCCAACGGCTATATCGAATATGACAAGACGTTACACGCCATGATGTCAGTTAAGACCGTGGAAGAGTTCTGGCTAGCCTATTCACACTTGAAACGGCCCTCGTCGTTACCCACGGTATCGGACTACCACTTCTTCAAGAAGGGTATCCGTCCAATATGGGAAGACGACGAAAACAAGCTCGGCGGAAAGTGGGTTCTGCGACTGAAGAAAGGTGTCGCCGATCGGTACTATGAAGATCTTCTGATGGCCTGCGTTGGCGACCAATTTGGAGACGAGGCCGATGAGCTCTGCGGTGTTGTGCTTAGTATGCGCAACGGAGAGGACGTGCTGAGTATTTGGACTCGTAGCACTGGACAGAAAGTTCTCAAGATCCGGTACGTCTATTCACTGTAGCTCTCGTTAGGTCCTTTTTACTTACAATTATCAGAGAGACGATGCGGCGCGTGCTGAACTGTCCACCCGAAACTCGTATCGAGTTCAAGAGCCACGATGCTAGCATGCAGCAGCGTTCTGCTATTGACGAGATGCGCCGCGAGAAGGCGGCGCAGAACCACCACAGCGATAAGCGAACCCACAACAACAATAACAAAAACCGACAGTTGCAAGACGAGCAGCAGCGATCGTAGCGGGACTAGGAAAGATTTCGAGCCCTGTCGACTATGAGGTGGCTTTTCAATTAAATATTCGCATTTGCATGCATGGTTTTTCCCGCGCAGGATCATTACGGTGAGGACGGCCCCGACTAGAAAAACAAGCAGTGAATTGTATTAGGGTAGAAGCGTTCTGATCAATGCGAAAACAGGCCATTTTTGTTTATTGGGTTATGCTGCTTGTTGCTGCCTGCTAGGGTTTCGTCTCGTCTCGTCCCCTCCTCACTCGACGACGCCCCGTGTTTGCTTGCTAGCCATGACACGAGAAAACAAAAAACCCTCCCAAGTGGCTCCTCCTACTCACCCCCCTCATCCCCGAGAGCCGGGTCCAGGATGAATGTGTAACTAAGATTTTCAGATGCCAATGACGTCTGTATGTATGTGTGTATATGTTGTATGTGTACAGTACGGAGGGGGGATGTCGTACGATTATGATAGGTTCTTGCGGCATGTTTGGTTTCCTTTTTGTGTGTGTGGTTAAATGTGTCCAAGGAAAAAGACGAAACGAAATAGCACACACCCCCTTGTGGTTGGTCTTGTGGTTGGTAAGGACGGGCTCCACGAGCTAGGCTGTCGGGCCGTATGATTCCACGCTTTTGATGTATTGTATAGGTAGCTGTATTAAAATTCGGATGCTGCTGGAGGCTGGCGGTGGCCTAATTACATGATGAATACCTAAGGAAGCCAGGACTTTAAGAATCAAGTCTTTTGAGATATGTGTACATACGTAGGTGGTATTTCTAACGAATGTAGAGACGGAAGATTATGATATGTAGGTATGTATATGCTCAAGTAGTATAAAAGACGAAACAGTCCGTCGACGGGCTTGGTAAGTGTTAGTTGTTGTATAGGAGGAACCTCGCTTGGGATCGGATATTACTTCTTGAAGGTAAGACACACGTTATATGGATTGGGTACTCTAGGTGCGAACCTAAAGGGGACACTTGGACACTTGAACAGTCTGACACTCAGACACTCAGACACTTAGCCTAGCCCATGGTGTCTTTCCAGCTAGAGTATAACGTAATACTAGCGATTAGGTACGTTGCGGAAGACAGCGACCCCAGTGTGAAGCGTTTCACTGTGCTCAAAAGGAGAACGTTCATGTCTTACCGACTAGTTATAGTCTGATCCTAAAGTATAGGTACCTTATATATATATATACTCCTTTCGCCTAGGAGCTTGAAGAAGAAGAAGACAGATTCTCTACTCAACAACCCCTTTTCTACATCTGAATGCCTATGAATACCTATACATACCTACATAACTAACCTGCCAACCGTAATCTTCTACTTCCCGTAGGTTAAATAAGGATATAGTCTCCATTATTTACTAGAATCCCACATACTTGTGTAAGCCCCTATTACGGGCTCTTCAAACCTAGAGGTAAGAGAGTACAAACAAAGCAACTCAATTAGAAGTCTAAGCACTATGATAATTGTCCTATTAAGCAACTGCAACTACAACTGCAAAGTCGAATCAACAAATCTTATTCAGGATCAAGACACAAAGACATAAGAAAAGAATAACAATCAAGCATTGTAATCACGAAAGCAACTCGTCACAAACATCACGTCACGTCACCGAAGAGAAGAAAAGAAATACATTGAAATCGAAATCAGTTCGTTCCATGTCATTAATTTTGACCTTGTCCTGTAAACTCAAAACCAGCCAGCCGTCCGTCCGTCCGTCCAGAATCGCCCCCTGCCAAACCGGATCTCGCAAAGATCCCCGCCGACGAGATTTTGCAATCCCAAACACAAAATGTACAGTAAATGTGGGCTTTTCCTTTCATGTTGCAAGAAAAGCAAAGCTTGTATGGTGCGTCCGCCATTGCTTCTGGGAGTGCAATGCAATGCAATGCAATACAGCAGTGACTCCCCCTTACCTAGGCCATGCATAAACCCCTGAACAGAAGATTCCTCTTCTCCCACGCATTGGTATCATAACGCCACTCCTCTCAATGTGAATGTGCTGTGCCGAATTCAAAAACAAAATCACAAGGCATATGCTGGTAGAAGTGCCCATTGCTTAACATTCTTCTTCGCACCCGGGACACTAACACGGTGGGCGACTTTGTCCAATGTCACTTTCACTTGTGTCTTCGTACAGCTGGGGAACTTCTTCGCCAACATCTCTATAATCGTACCCTTGGTAAACTCTTTAAGCTCATCGCTGATGATAGCTTGCCTGAACTCATCAAAGACGTCCTTTGGAACTACGTTTTGGTTCTCTACTGCCGGGGGAGAACTGCCTGTACCCGAAGCAAGCACCGAAGCGCCTGTGGGTACGTCAGGCGGAGGCATAGATGTAGAAGGGGCAGGCGTAGATGTAACTGCGCTCTTCGTTGTGACTCTCTTCGCAGGAGCTGGCCAGTAAGAAGTTGAGAAGGGATCAATTCCTGAATGGTGTTCGAGTGTATCTGCAACTTTGTTAGTTCAAGATATCAAATCGTTAATTTGACTGGACTCCTCACCTAGTAGGAACTCGAGCTGATACTTATATGTGGTAGGACAAGGGCCAAGTCTCGTTTGATCCTCAAAGCAAATACCAGTACTAACCGGCTCTTTTTCACCAAGGAAAGTTGGTCGGATCGTAGTAGGTTGGTCCTCAGAATCGTCGAGGAAGTCCTCCATTTCTCCATCACCATCATGAGAATCGTCATCGTCATCTTCATCGTCTAGGTCTTCACCGTCGTCTTCCACCCATTCTGCCTCAGAATCATAGTCGTAATTCAGTGGGAGGACTTTTCCGACGGATCTACGGGATATGAAGCGGAGTTTCGTGGCCTCGATAGGCGTAGTGACGGTTCCGAAATACGGTGGTCTGACGTCTTCGTAGAAAGATAGGTATTTCATTGTGATGGCGTTGAGTCGTTCTTGAGCGTTTTCAGCTAGTTTTTTGGCCTGTGACTCTGTTTTTGTACCCGCCTGCTCAGCCTCGTTATGTACACTCTCCACGATGCTCTTTACGCTCGGCGGGATCATACCACGCTTCCGTGTGAATGCCAAGTTGAAGGTTTCTGCTGGATTGAACGGCTTAGGGTTGAATTCGCCTCGCTCGCCACGAATGTACTGGTCCAGAATTCTAGATTTGACATCTTTGGTCTCGTCGTCCATTTCAAACGGCTGTGGAGCTAGCGTGACGTCGGGCTTGACGAAGAAGGGCTGGAATACTCGGTCGTACGCCGACTTCTCCGGCTTAGATTTAGCTTTCGGCGAACTAGCAGCGACATCGGATTCCACAGAAGGCTCCGTGATTTGCTCGGTAGCCTTCTTCGGGGGTGCGTTGAGAGCTCGCTGGACGAAAACCGCCAGCATGTTTTGCTGTCGACCTTTCGCTTCTTCCTTTTTGCGCCTGGCGGCTTCCTTAGCGGCATCCTTTTTCTCCTTCTCGGCTATCTTTGCTGCTTTGGCCGCCTCGTCAGCAGCCTTCTTCTTAGCCTTTTCAGCGGCCTCGGCTTCCTTCTTCTGACGTTTCTCAGCTGCTTCGGCTTCTTTCTTGGCCTTCTCGGCCGCCTTCGCCTCCTTCGCTTGACGTTTCTCCTCGGCTTCCTTTTCTTTCTTAGCTTTCTCAGCACCTTTAGCGTCCTCCTTCTCGGGCTTTTCTGATGCTTTAGCCCCCAATTTCTGTCGCTTAGTAGCGTTGAGCTTCTCCTCGATGGTTGACGGGGGTTTTCGCTTGGCTCCTTGGGCTTTTTGAGTTGTAGGCGCGGAAAGAAAAGCTGTCTGTGTGGGCTGAGAAGCTGTGCTGCCCGATGCTGAGGGAGATGACAAGGGTGTCTTATTCGGTGAGAGTGATTTCCTCATTGCTGGACTGGATCCGGCTTCAGTTAAAGCCGCGGGGCTACTTCCTGGGGTTGCATCCATTGTCGCCATTGATGTAGGCAGCTCTATAACATAGGCATTAGCAACTATGGACGTTGGGTACAGAATAAAAGAAAAGACAATGCTTACGTGGAGGGTTAATAGAAGGGACAGATATTTCAGCAGATTTCAGCTTTCCTGGGTTCTCCGAATGAGAAGGCTCTCCGATGGCAAGCTGGCTAGGGGTGTCAACAAAGTCCTCGTGCGTTCTTTTCCACGGTGTTGTTGGTGACTCCTGGATATTTGGGGATATCGAAAATAGAGGCATTGAGGTAATTGATTAAGGGCGGGCTCCCTAGCACATTACAGGATAAGGGCAATAAACTAGCAGTCAATCTAAGATCAGGTTGATTATAGAATGAGGACTGGAGAAGTTTAGATCCAATAGAGAATCGCGGGTAAATGCAGACAAGTCAAACTCAGCAAGTCTCTTTGGGAGACAGTAATATGCAGTAGTATGAGGCTTCACCAAATTGTCTTGGTTAGAAGTCAATTGGTGAAGGAGTGGTCGAGTTGAGCGATTGTCCAGGATTAGCTGGTGGATCAAAGAACGCGTTCAAACGCGAAAACCAAGGTGCCTAAGGAAGGAAACGCGTCGAGACTGGCAAATTGAATTACTTCTTCAAGGCTAGCGTTTATATATTGTGGAGTAAATGACATGTTAGCGTGTACGACTTGGACCGTGCCCTTTATCCGATATGAATGTGGACCGTGCTCTCTGTCGTAGCTTCTTGAAAGAATAGAGTATATACCAAGTATCGTCGACATAATATAGACGCAGTAGGTTAGGTACCTTGTGCGAGTGTCCATTTTGATGCGATCTGTATACGATCTGTATAGATTGGTAGAAGGTACCTGGTAAGGTGCAATGTACATGTGTATTTGACTTGATTTGCCCAAGTTTTACAATAGGTACTTTCAGAGCTTCGAAAAATGCTGCAATTTCAAAGTACCTTCTTAATGTTTCGCACATTCTCATTATGGAAGCATGCATGCGCAGACCCTTTGGCATTCTAAGTGCCAAATGGTGGGGGTAGCGGCTGAAAAAGACTGTAAGGTTTGCTAACTAAATTATTGTTTCCTGATTGGTCTCTTTCTTCGCTTGCCCTGGAATTCTGCCGCACTTGCTTTGTTTGCCTTGTTTCCGCCCCACTCACCGCCCTGAGAAAGTGTATAAATGTATGGCCACTCTCCCCGAATCTTAGAATTCTTTTCCTTTTCTTCTTCATACTTACCTTGTTCCAAGAACCTTCGCTCAAGCATGAGGGTTCTTAAGGGGAGACGCCTGCATTGCACAGCGCGGAGCTGACCCTCTTCTATTATCCCTCGTGGATCGTAGGGAGCGCAATTTTTGATCTTCGCATATCTTTTCATTATGATTCGCTACCTTGAGCAGCGGCATGAAGAAGAGAGGCTATTTAGAGAAGTAGCTTGTTACCTAGCATAATTGTAGATAGGTATTCAGGTATTCTAATTAGGTTGATGGACGCGCTCGAGTCTTTCGGTGTCACATAAGAGGTACCTTAGATTGACATCAGTATCCCAGATGTTTGTGTAATATCAAACTGTTCAACTGGAAATGATGGTTCATAGGCATCTCTGTACTGTACAGTAGCTCACCTGTCTTGTCTATTCAGAAGATGCTTAACCGCTTATTTAAAAAAAAAAACATTATAGAGACATTTACTCATAACATTGGTTTCTAACTGGCAAACTCGTGATGATTCTTTAGGGAGTAGAGAATATGGCTTAAAATATAGCATAGCCTTCGAATTGAAATCGTAGGCTTGCTTTCGGTTGCGATACGTTTCTTATCGATAAGACGACAGCTGACCGCGGGCTCTGGCGGGCCGATCCATAAATCTACTCAATTAATCTTCAATCCGAATTTTCGGCATCGCGAGAAGCCTCACTCACAGTGACTCACTAAACCCCGCGAGAGCGAACGACCACAACCGACTTCCATCCAGCCGAAACGCCAATTGTGACCAGCCCAACGCCAGAATAGAGCTAATTGGGCAGGGGATCTACGCTTGGGGAAGGCAGAGAGGAAGAGAAGCATGAAGATACATTGAACCCTAGCACGCCTCGGAACATATACAACTCTCGTCGCTACTAACTCCAGCTCGGTCGTCCTCCTCTCACATACACACACACACAATGCGGTCTTTCGCTCTAGCCGCTCTGCCACGAGCTCGCGGCGCCAATAAAATCGCCTTAACTTCAGCGACGGCATCCATACAATCGCTAGCTACACGAAGGTCCGTTCAGTAGTCCACCAGTCCCAACATTCATTCATTTATCTATTTATCTATTTATACCCTCTCTCTCTAACTCTCCTTAGAAGGGCATTCTCCTCCCTCCCCACGCTCCGACCCACGCTCCGCGCCTCCCCAGGATCCGTCTTCCGCTCCCCCTCCTCCACCTCCAACAACGGTCTCATCGAATCCTTCGCCCCCCAACCCGGCGCGGGAGCAACAGCAGACCTCGTACCCAAAACGTCCCTAACCGCGCACCCCTGGCTCTCCGGCGCAGCCCAAGTCCGTTTCGGCCCGCGACCTACGATGGCGCGGACCAGTCGTTTGGTACGCAAGCGGCGTCACGGGTTCCTGAGCCGCGTGCGCTCGCATAACGGGCGCAAGACGCTGCAGAGACGCAGGGAGAAGAAGAGGTCTACGCTGTCGAACTAGGTTGTCTGTGTTTTTTCCCCTTGTGCCTCACCCTTGTGCCTCACTTCACCTCGCTAAGGTCTGGGGTCTATGTATCTGGACGCGCAGGTCATGACGGACGGATGAGATGGCGAGTTTCTATGAGGAATTCATGACGGGGGTGCTAGGCTAGCTGGGTCGTGAGTAGGAACTGGCTCGGTGCCCTTGTTGAGGATTGTGTAGCGGGGGAGAGGGCATGGGGGTGTACTATATACTACATATAGAACTGTATATTCCAAGAACCATCTCTAAACCAGTGACCTCAAGATCCAGCTTAGTCTCACGGGAAATCTCAGAAGTGATAGCTTCTTCAAAGGGCCATTTAGGTTTATGCGGCCCATTCACATTCATTCATAACAATACTGCGATATTACATGAAGAGCCTTATTTATAGTTCTATTAACACCCCATCAATCTCCCACCCATCTCCCCGCCACTCCATCATCCCCATCCCCATCCCCAAACTCATCTCCACCATCACCGACCCATTCCCCAGACGCAAACCTCCCATCCCCTAAACGGGACTCTTAACGCCTGTCTCGCACTCCAAGCTATCCGAGTAACACACCACCGGCAAAGCATCACTCGCCTCGCCGACCCAGATCTTGTACTTCCCATCTGGCTTCGGCACAACCCAGTTCTGCCGCACCGTATCCCAGACACTTACATCCTTGCGCGAGAGACTCAGCTCTAGGGTCTCGCTCTGCCCGGGCGCAAGCGCGGTTCCTGTCTTCGCGAAGTCGCGGAGTTGGATGACGGGGGTGTCGACGCCCGCGTCCTCGGGGAATTGGACGTATGCCTGCGCGACGGCTTTTCCGGCCGTTGTGCCCTCCTTTGCGGTATTCGTCACAGTGACTTTGATCGTGTACGCGACGTCCCAGATTGCGGGATTGCCGCCGCTGGGACCACCGGCAGGCGGAACGTCTTTCTTCTGCGTGCCTGAGTAGCCCTCTGGGTACGGGTACTTCTCGTCGCCGGCCGCGCCAATCTCATACGCGGCGTCGGCGTCGCCCTTAGATAGCCATGGGTAGAGGTACCGCCAGATGCGGTCAAGGCTGTCTGGGAAGTATGCTTCGGACGCAGTGGGGATGGTAGTGTTTAGGCTAGCAACGGGGGACGTGGGTTTGGCAGGCCGAGCTGGCGGGACTTCGGACAGCTCTGTCACGCGAGTAATGGTAGCGTTGGAGAAACTGAAGGACGCATAGCTTAGGCCGTGACCGAAGGCAAAGCGCGGCTTGATGTTTTGCTTGTTCAGATACCGGTAGTCGATGTAAAGGCCTTCTGAGTAAGTGTCCTGCGTCTGGCTGAGAGGCGTAGCGACTAGGTCGAGACTGTCGGGATAATCGTCCTCGGAGACGGGAATGCTGTACGGTAGGTGTCCGCTGGGTGATACCTCGCCGTATATGATTTCGGTTAACGAGTCGCCGGCTTCCTGCCCGGGAAGATGGGCAACGAGGACAGCTTTAACAGAAGCGAGATCAATCCAAGGTTCCACAATGATAGGGCCGACAGTGTGGACAACGACGACAACGTTGCTGTATTTCGCGGCTGCGTTTTGAACAAGCTCATCACCATTGTGCCAGGCCTTCAAACCAGATTCGTCGCGGTCACCGTGGTTGCCCTCAACAGTATATGAATTCTCCCCGGAATCGGATGTGATGAACACAACAGCAACATCGTCTTCGGTCGGCGCTGGGACGGACGGGAAGCTATCCGTAGCATAGTATGTCACGTTGGTTGCTTTTCGCTTGAAAGAGCTAATCGGGTCGTCTATGTAAGGGTAGTTCGCGGATCCTGAACCCCATCCCATACCGAGCAAGCCTCGGTTGCAGCTCTTGTCTGTGCACGAGTTGATACCTTGGGGATCAGCTTGAGCATCGGTGCCAAATACGAAGAGGGGCGCTGAAGTTGACAGTGGAAGAAAGCTGCCGTTGTTCTTCAGTAGCGTGATCGCCTCTTGAGCTACTTGTTTAGCAACCACTTTGTGATCGGCTTGAACGTTGACATATTCGTTGACGACACCGACCGGGGAAAACAGTGCAGCTGGATAGAGTGGTCCTTCGCGATCTGCCGTGTTCGAAGAAAAGTTAGGAGGCGGATAGTCCTTATCTTGGCCAAGCTGATACCACGTAGCGACAACACGCGTAGTCATATCGTTTAGTCGGTCGACAGGTACAGAACCATTTAATACCGACCGTGTAAGTTCGTACATCCAGTTAGAGTAGCCAAACAGCGGTACGTTGTTGCCAATTGTATCTCCAGGCATGGACATATCGAGGCCAGCGAGAGCGGACGCCACTCCTGAAAGCTGCGCAAGCCAATCGGTCATGACAAAACCTTGGAAGCCTAGTTCATCTTTCAAGAGGCCATTCAGAATATAGCTGTTCTGAGAGGCAGCAGATCCATTGATCTATAGCTTAATTAATAAGGCCCGCCCAAATCAAAGTACAACCATAATCTAACATACCGCATTATAAGAGGCCATTATTGAGCCGACTCCAGCCTTCACGCCTTCTGCGAATGGCCAGAGGTATAGTTCGTGCATCGCTCGGTCATCTACAGCCCCAATCAGTCTCTAAAATTAACAAATAATACTTTGCCATGTACACCTACCGATATTGGAACTGTATGCTTGCTGGAATGGGTTGTACATGCGATAAAGCTCCTGCTCATTTCCGATCAAATGCTTCAGTGTCGATATGACTCCTTGCTCTTGCACCCCTTTGATCGTCTGGGCTCCGGAAATAGCCTGAAGGACGGGATCGGATCCGAAGCCCTCCCAGTTTCGGCCACCCCTCGGCTTCCTTCCTAGGGCTCCAACACTTGGTCCCAAGTAGAAGTTGGCTCCCTTACCCCTGAATTCCTCACCGATGGCAACACCTCTTTCATATATCAGATCCTTGTTAAATGTTGCCCCGGTAGTGATACCAGCAGGGAAAGCAGTGACGTTGTCTGTTGTGCGCACACCCAGAGGACCATCTTGTAAGCACAGCTCCGGAAACCCCAACCGTGGTACACTGCCAGTATTTCCAACACATCGGCCTGAAGTCGTATGTTAGTATTTAAGATGTCATTTTGGATAGTTTTGATTAGTTATCATACCCTAAACTATAGTTAGCAAGAAGCTTCTGTATAAGTTGTGCATGTGGTAATCTACCATATAAAGACCAGTACCAGCAGTTAGGTTAACTTTCTCGGCCAGTGTCATTTGCGACACCAGCTTGATTGCTTTTTCGTAGCTCTCGGACCAGTCATCGGCCCAACCGCCGTAAGGGGTCGGGTAATACGGGGCGGCGACGAAGCCCTCCGGGACGGGATCCCGAGGGAGTAATACGGAGGCTGACGCCGTGCTCGCGAGTAAACATAACGAAAGGCTACGGAGTCCTGAAGGGCGCCCCATATTGAAGATTACTATTATAATTATGCTAAAAAAGGATAGGGGAACACGGGAACACGGGAACACGGGAACACGGGCTTCCCTAGGTAATTAAGCGTATATATTTGCAGCACTTTAAAAGTGCATCGCGGACTGGTGAACACGCGAGCTGTGTAGCTGGACAGTAAAGCAGCACTATTTTCACACTCGTGATTGGCGATTGCCTTAGATAAATATATGAATGACAGACAGGATGATCCAGGGACGGGGCACGGGGCATTGCCTAGATTGCCTATCTTGTATACAAGACATGGTTCTGCTTGCCGTCCACTACGAGACATGCAGCTCGGTTTTCGGGTTCGATCCGAGCGGTGCTTTCCTCCTATTCATCACTATGCAGAACCAAGATCTCGGATGATGCCGGCATACCGAGCATACATAGAACATGGCTGCATGGTTACCCGGCATTCAGTTCGAAAAGTAGAATAGGCGGGGTAGGAGTGAGTTAGACCAAGGAATAATCTCCGTAGTTCGCGTTCGCTATGCTTTACGGGCTTTGAGATTTGGATCGCCAGCTTGGCAAATGCTAGGTCAAGATATCTTTGCGAAAGCTTTAGTCAGTGAAACCTATAAATCATTCTAGAAATTCGCTAGAAAGTTGTCCATCGACCCGACCCGTACGGCTCGATAACAACGGACGATGCTTTTTCAAAGCCAAGGGCCTACATAGGCAGGTAGTGTACATAGCATGCAAAGATGTATGTAGTACGCGAAGTTGTCACCTGCATACGGCGATTCAAATAGCGGTCACCTTTCAGATCCACCGGTACCAGCGCAGATAAAGTAGAGAGGCTGACAGACACGGCATCGCATTCCAGTTGCATTCCAGCAGCCATCCTTTAGAATCTGGCCCGATGCGGAGTAGATGGACAAAATGAAGTTCCAAGCTGACCTTGTCGGGCGGGCTGGTGACGTGTTTGCGAAGTTGCAAGGTTACAGCGACGTGGGCTACTGTAGCATGGGCGCTACACAGCATCGGGGAAGCAATCTCGATGCAGATTTCAGCTTCCGATGCTATACTCAAAGAGGCTATAGAAATAGTATGCAATGCATACTATGCATGTTCCTGGAGGCTGGGGTATCTCCACGATCTACGACTATCGTATTTCGCATTGATTATGATTTTATGGAATATGGAAGGTTCTTAGTGTATGCGTTTGTATGCAAAAGAGAACCAGGGAATCGGGTGATGGGATAGGTGGAGAAATACTATAGGCTAAAGCGATAGTTTAATTAACTAGCTGAATCTTAGATCCTTCCCCGACTTTTGAAAGTTAGTGTTACATCTCTAGTTCGTAATCTTCGTAATCGTACTTTAAGAACCCTGAATCATATTTTACTAAGCGAACTTGTAAAGAGCAATATAGCTAGCTCATGCTGCACTCAATTAGAACTGAGTTGATAGACGAGCCTTATCTACGCAGGACATAATGATAAACACTAGTGTGAAATTATTATATAAGATTGTCGTTATTGTCGTTATGAGCTTTATAGCAATTTGTGCTACCAAACAAAATACCCCAGGGAAAACCATCTTCGCGTTTGCAAACCAGAGACACAGTGCATTGTTTAATTAAATTTAGTCGGCTAACCCTTTTACGTTATTATTAAGATGATATGTTTCAAGTTTTCTAAAGTCTTGATTTGTTATTATAAGAGGTAGAGTATAGACCTATATCTCGCTGGTAATTAAGGACATAATATCGTTTGTCAAATTATTTCCCCACGTCCCTATTAAAGGCCCCCTATATTATAATGCCTCAAGGCGTTTGTCCGACTCTAATAACTCATTAGTAATTTCTCTTCTTTTCTTAAATGAGCTCTTAGTTGATGATATTGAGATCTTAACCTAAAGCCTTTAAATAATCCTGTAATTGTTAGCCAGGTAAACGGCTGGATTTTAGATAATGAAGCAAGCTTGAAATATAGAGTACCTAACCTAAGGTATGCGCAGTCTTCGCAAGCTTAGCCACGTTTAGAAAGATCGGTCGAGATTGTTTCAATAATTCTTCGCATGTCTTAAGGGGTTTTTCTTAGTAAGGCGAGCCACGATATAAGCTTTATCCAATCGAGTGCTAAGCAGGGGTCCGCCTGAGCGGTTATCCTTGCACATGTCACAAACCTTGAGCACCTACCTAGAATGTACAAACCTGGAAACTTCACGTGGGCAAAGTTGATCTATCTGCGTCTATTTGTGTCGCCGAGTGACAGCGGAAACCCCAATAGGATTTAAAGTATGTAGATTAAAATCCTATAACCCTGTTTTGATACCTCATAACCCCCCTTCAATGTCTCAATGTCCTAATAGAGACTAAAGATTTCGTCATGATGTTTTTACTACACAGCTGAATCGTTGAGATGACTAGCTGTATGTAGTGTATTCCCCGAGATAGACGCCATATGCGAGAATTAGACTTCTATGTCTTGTAGATACACTATCTTTCTTAACTCCGGGATCACGTAGCGAATGAGAAGGCTAGAAACATTCCGCTTCGGGTTATTAATTGGTCGCTCTATGGATGCTCTAGCGGCTAACTAATATCTTTCGCCGTCGCGCCCCCAACCTTCCCTAGCAAGCCACCACCTCAAACAATGTGTATACGGTCCTGTCTGCAGGGGCCGTTTTCTGATTCCTAGCCCCTCGGAGTAGTCCTACCCGGCGCCGACTCGCTCGCTTCTCTAAAGCATGGGGAACCTAGAAGGCTACCCCGTACATTAGGTACCTGTGTTGTTATCCATGTAGGGTACCCGTGTTGGACCTGGTATGGCTAGGATTGTGGCTCAGAGAAGCTTGTTTGAACAGTTGAAACTCCCAGATCGGACAAGAGTTTCTACATGTTTTAAAATCGCGCCGTTAGGGCCGAATTAGCCAAATCGAAACACGGATTCTCCATGTCTACAGTACGCCCCCTGAAATAATGTTATTCAGCGGACCCCTAGAGCTACTTCGCTAAGATCCTGAAGCGTATGTCTACTGCCGCCTTATAAGGTTGTCGTAATTCTTCGAAAACGTTATTTCAGAGTATTTTATGCTATAAAACCCTGGTATAATAGTTGAGATGTTTTAAGAGGCGTTGTTCTATTTAAAATTAAAAGCCCTGTTCTGTATCGTGCACGTCCGAAAAACTAACATTATTTCAAGGGGTGTAGTGTATGGCGAGAAGCCAGCGGGGAGAGATCGGCCTGTCTTAAAGCCACACGTTGCCGTACATTCTTTCTCCCTTACCATAATAAGTAAGATGCATCTACGCGGAATGTTCATGTATTTTTCTCGTCTTCTCTAGCCTTATCCCTCCCTCGTCTCGTCGTTGCTTTTCCTCTTGACCGGTCAAGATGAAGCGGTTTATTTGCGCCCTGGTCTCTGCCTTTGGCTTGCTTGCTACTGCAAGCCCGGTTCCTGCTACCCCCTTTGAGATTAGCAATGGTAGTATGTTTCTTGAGAATTTCCCCAAGTGGAAGGGTATGCTAACAGATAGACAGGTACAGTTACCCCGACCGACGTTTCGACCTTCAAATTCTTCTCTCAGTATGCCGGGGCAAGCTACTGCAACAGTGAGGTAGACCTAGGTTCTACTGTCACTTGCGCCGAAAACACCTGTCCAGATGTCACTTCTGCTGGTGCTAAGGTGGTAGCAACCTTCTCGTAAGTCGCTACTATCACGGCTATTACTTCGAATCTTAGACGTGAAAGGGATATGAAAAAAAAAAGACATATCGGGCTAATACTTTATAAGTGGGAATCTCACTGATATCCAAGGCTTTGTCTCGTCGGATGACACCAATGAGCTAATCGTGGCGTCTGTGAGAGGATCTCATTCAATTCGCAACTTTGTTGCCGAGTAAGTTTACATTTCCCCTATACTTGTAGTGTATAGCTACTGAAGGAAATGTCTAACCTTGATATAGTCTCTCTTTCGTACCTCTCCCCTGCGACCTCGTAGATGACTGCTTAATCCACAGTGGCTTCCTTCTATCATGGCAAGAGATAGAAGACGCCTTGCTGGACGGTGTAGCAGCGGCTAAGGAAGCCAACCCTTCTTACAAGATCATCTTCACCGGACACTCACTAGGTGGAGCCGTGGCTACAGTCGCCGCCGGCTATGCCCGAGATCAGGGTTACGAACTCGACCTCTACACCTACGGTAGCCCGCGTGTAGGCAACCAGGCCTTCGTCGACTTCGTTACAGCCCAGCCAGGCGGCGAGTTCCGCGTGACGCACTTGGACGACCCGGTCCCACGTCTACCTCCCATCGCCGTCGATTACCGACACACCAGCCCAGAGTTCTGGATATCCGACGAGAGCGACAATAGCACCATAAACGCGGCCTCGGATATCAAGGTATGCGAGGGCTTCGCGAACACTGATTGCAACGGCGGTACCGACGGGCTGAACATTTTTGCCCATTTGCTCTACTTCGATAACATCAGCGGATGCGGCCCAATCGCCATCGGTTTCAAGAGGAGAGGTGTCCAGAGAGACGTCTCGGACGAGGAACTACTTGCGAAACTCAACGACTGGACCGCGCAGGACCGCGAGATCGCGGCGACGCTGAAGCAGTAAACTTTCTTTTCGCTTAGGGATTAGGCCCATCCTCTGGTAGGATATTTTGGTTCTGGATATGAAGCAGCGTGGCGCTGTGTTCTGTAGGATTTCATTTGTATGGGGATGGCGCAATCGGCCATATTTAAAGATTTAATATTTATTGGGAATCTCGTTAGATAGAGTCTTGAGTGTATTGTATTGTACATTATTTTATACCCTGTATATAGAGGTTTCTTTGAGCGTAGATTTTATATCGATCTAGGTCAACTATCTATCTTGGTATAGAGCCTCATGATACTCCTCATAATCCCGGTTTATGTATCTTCTGGCCATCTCTAAGCTCGCTAGCTAAAGAGCGATATGTGCATACGATTACCCAGCAACATCCAAATGCGGATCTTTCCCTTCCACATCCTCCGCCTTCTTCACCTCCACCTCCTCAGGCACATACCGAAACCCCAGCTCCTCCAGTGTCTTGGCCTTCTTCCCCGTCTTCTCAAACTGCATCTTCGCCTCGGCGTAAATGCCTCTTTGCCAGAGCATCTCGGCGTCCCAATGCGGCGGCTCCTTTCCCTTCCCCTTCCCCTTCTCCCCTAAACTTTCTTTCTCCAACCATTCGTACAACCCGTTGATATACCGCCCATCCCCACCCTTGGGAAATACATGGTACTTCCCCTCGCTAGTCCCCTCGCCGTCTTCACGCGCCCATTGCTCGAGGATTGGAGTTGGGGGCAAGGGGAGCGTGTTTGACCATAGGCGTGCTAGGACGGCGCCTTGGGATTCGGTTAGGGGGAAGGGGATTACTTTTATGGGGAGGCCGGGGAAGGCTAGGGTCGGGTGCGTGATGTGTAGGAGGTGTTTTGCGAGACCGTGGACTTGGCGGCCGTTGGTGACCAGGGGGACGTCGGGGAGGAAGGGGAAGGTGTAGAGGTACCCTGTGCAGAAGAGTATGGCGTCGATATCTGTTTCGATTTTCGTCTCCCCTTTCTCCTTCTTTTCAGCGCTATCGTCTTCATCCTCATCCAGGGGGAAGAACTCAACACCCCTCTCCTCGATCAAAAATCTCTTGATCTGCCCGACCTGTACGGGGTTTCCGATATGCTCAAGGGTCTCAGGGGGCGCTGCTGTCTGCGCCGAGAGAATCAGGGGCGTCTTACACACGCGTTGGATTTGCGCCGCGATATCTAGCCCCGAAGCGCCAGTCCCCACAACCACGACTTTCTTCCCGCGGAACGGCTCCGCGTTGCGGTAGAGCTTCGAATGCGATATAACCCCCGGATGCTTGGCGTGAAAGGCAGCAATACCCTCAACAGAGTCCGGAATATACGGCGTCGAGTAGTGTCCCGACGCCACAACCACCGCATCATACGTCTCCGTAGTTTCTTTCCCGGTAAGTAAATCCGTAGTCCTCACATCCCACTGCTCCCGCTCCCGCGGCTGGCCCTCAACACTCCGCAGCGAAACATTAGTGACTTGCGTAGAGAACTTAATCAAATGCCGCACATCCCTCGCGTACTCAACCAGATACGCCTGTACATCCCCCCTCGTCGGGAAGATATCGCAGCCCTCGGGGAACGCCAAGTCCGAGTACTTCATCAGGGTATGCGGGATATTCGTATGCAAATCATCGTACATCGGAGACGGAAACAGCGGCACCGTCCCCGTCCCGTCCCCATCCTTTTCCACGGGAACATAAACCGGCGGATCCGGCCTCTTAGGATGCGCATCCGTCTGCGGCACAGGCAGCGCCTCAGCGGGCCGTGGCACAGGGCTATAATTCCACACGCCGCCTACCTCGGCCTGCTGCTCCAAGACGTCGATGCGCGGGAACGCGCCATCTTGCGCGAGTAGATATTTCGCTGCCGCTAAGCCGCTGGGCCCGGCGCCGATGACGGCGATCTTCTTTACGTTGAACGGTACGGCGGCTGTAGCCGTGGCCGTGGCCGTGGAGAAAGACGAGGGTGAGAAGGAACCCATTGCTCGGGGCGGCTGCGGACTCGGAGCGGGACGTCCCGGATAGAGTGTGGAGAAAGAAAGATGGAGATGAGAATAGGGCGCTTTTATATTCCGTATGTTAGGAGTATTTACGTTACGTTACGATTGGGCTCTATCGCTGGGGAAATCCTCAATAAGTAGGCTAAATAAAAGGCTTGCAAACTACAATACGATAGAAAATTATAATTAAATAATTAATACTGCTGGATATATATATGTAATTATATATATGTAATCTATAAGTCTAAGAAAATATTTCAAGGTACGAAGTAATCGAATGATTATCAGGGTGGATCACACTTATGAGCGAGCAAAGTCGATGGCGCAATTCTAGCTACGGTTATCTACGGCGTGACTCTCCGGCGCCACACTACTTCACATATCAACCTGTGACATGTGTAATGATAAGAGTTATAGGGAAATCATTTGCATTGCTAAGCTAGCATATCATGCTCCAAGGTATCTAATTACTTAACTGGTGGACTACCTGGAATCCTGGATATGTACACATTCGTAGTGAGCCACACAAAGTACGCCATGATCGTTAACTCGCAGTGAAAGATTATCATGGTCAACACCTCTTCGGTGGCATCATATGTGACATGCTCGTCGATTGACAACGGCAGTGTCCTGCAAGAAAAATCACAAGAACATTAGCAAAGCAATTTCCTGCTCCTGCCGTAAACACTTTAGGCTGGCTACCTATGCACCATGATTGATCGGATAGAATGACCCGTTTTCAACGCCTGTGCTTCACGTGAATATCATCGTAAAAACCATTACCAGGGCTCAATGCTTCCAACGCCAAACGCCAAACGCCAAACGCTTAGAGCCGTGTCCTGCATTACGCCTGATATCTTCAATATGTGTTTAAGTCGGGTATCGTAAAAAGGAAGATTAAACACTCCCGATTCAATCTTCGGTGCCTTCGATGATCATTCCCATCGCATTCGGGACACCGACCAAGATCTTGCCTCTGGGGACTCGCACATCCTTCACCTATGCACGCCACATTGTTAGCTACATCTAGTTTCAAGTGCCGCGTGAGCGTGATAGTAGTTGGGGGGAATCAAATAGGGGCTAGGACGTGACACTCATTCACTCGTTCTATTAGCATGGACGGGAGAATAATGGGCTTACCTTCATGCATCCAAAGACATTCAGCCTCTTTAGACTAGGGCAGCTTTTGAAGATCAGCCCGACAATTAGGTCTGTCACCTCTTCACAGAAACTGATCTCCAGATCTAAAAGCTCGGGATACACCTGTCCGATAGCAAACACATCTTCAAACGCCTCACCGGATATGTGTCTGCATCCGTGGATGTTGAGCTTTTTCAAGAGCCTGCCTGAATGCTTCATCAAGGCTCGGAAGCCGCCCGAGCAGAAGCCAATCATATGCTGGTTTACTCTGGGGTTTCCCGCGTCGATGTGACGGCATAGTTCTAGGTCCACGAATAAGAGGGGCCTGTTCTTCCAATCTTTGAAGAGCCTAACAAAGCCTGCATCGGTCATGACCTCGCTATTTGTGATGCGCAGTTTAACTAATCGAGCGCAGTGGTCATGGATTGCATCGAGCAGGCGATCGTCAACACCTGGAACATCCCTGATAGAGAAGGTACGCAACTGGTTCCCTATCTTTTGTACGACATTGACATAAGGCATTGTCTGGGTCTGGCTAACAAGACGTAGCCCTAAGTGCTCGAGGCTATGAAGCTGTGCGATGTGTTCTACTCCTTCGTCGGTGAGTGCTTGGTTGTGGCAGATTTTCAATCTGGTTAGAGATGGGCAGTAATCGCGTAGAGACTCTACAGTTTTGTTACCGAAATGACGATCTGTGAAATAGACACGAAGACTTTGAAGGCTTTGTCCCTTTGCCTTTAGGTATTTATCCCAGCATTCGTCGCTGAGTAGGTTCGCGCCAGATATGTAGAAGGTATCTAGGGCGAAATGTCTTCCCATTAAGTACTCCATGACGTCATCTTTGAACTGGATCGCGTTACGCAATTTGAGGGTCTTGAGACTGGAGCAGATTTGGAACATTCGGGTATAGTCATCTGAACCTAGGCGACCTCCATCGTATATCATGATATCCTGAATCTGGGGCTGGAGGAATAGATCTAGGGTCTTGGGGCTCATGAGACGGCGTTTGGATAGCTGTCTGGATATGCGATCAATAGCTGGTAAAGGTAGATCGCCGAGGTCGTCAGCAAGGTGGATGTTGTTAGCTAGGGTCTCGACGCAGAGGGTCATCAGGGTCTTGACTCCGATTTGGCCATCTAGTATAAGGCTCTGAATCTTTCTTCGTTCACGTCTAATGGGAACCACAGTTGCCTTCTGCTTGCCTTTCTTAGAAGCGCTCTTAGCAGCCTTCTCTTCTTTGGTTAGCTTGATGCTACACTGGGCACAAAGTAGGCCTCCCTCTGGACCGGCACGTGAATAAGCGGTTACCGTAAATCGCTTGCCGCACTGCTCACAGTTCTCCAACTGGCCGGGCACAGGAGCCGTGCTTCTCTCAAGTACATCCTCATCGGACTCGTCATCTGGGGCATTTCGGCGCGACTTGCGTTGTTTGGATGGCTTAGAGTTCTTGACTTTCTCAATCGCCGCAGCTGCCTGCTTTCGCTTTCGGGTCGTTGCTTGGCGCGTGTTTGCAGCAACTGAAGACTCAGCATCGTCTTCACTATCTTCTACGGTTTCTGCAGGTTCTACAGTGTCTACATTCTGTGCTGCTGATGTAGATGCGACGGCTTGGTCTGAGGCGGTAGTAGCAGTAGCAGACCTAAGGCGAGCCTCGTGATTAGCGCGGATTTGCCTGGCCGAAATATTCTGGGAGGCCAGATAATCTGTGAGGGCAGACCGAGGTCCCCGAATGTTTCGCTGCCTGGGTTGAATCGTCAGTATTACTTAGGGCTCTTTAGATAGATAATCTAAAAAGGTACAGCTTACATCTTGTCGGCTTGAGAGATGCTCTGAAAGGACTCCGATCAATGCCTTATTTCGATCTATCTATAGGTAATGTTTGATGCGAAGCGACCGGGAAATTAGACGAAACGATGCTGTGAATTTGGAGTTGGGGTGAGCCTCATCCAAGAAATGCGGGATGAAATATCATGGGTAGCGAAAATGAAGGTGAATGCAGTACTTGATTGTTAAGGAGTCTTGTTAAGATGCCCCTAACAATTAAGAAAGGTAAACAACCTGAGTACCTAAGTACTTAGGTGCCGGAAATCACGGATCTTCTCAGCCCCTATTCAGGTTTACGAGTTTTTATTATGTGCTGGGGTCTGGTAGAAGAGAAAAAGAAAGTGAATTGACTCATTGAACAAATAAGAAACCTTGATAGCGCAAAGAATTAACACACGGTTGACGCCACCGACTGCAGCTAACGGCGCGTTAAGTGGTTCCGTTTCAGGCAGCGATCTTATCAGTTTAATTGCTTTTTAGCGTACCTGAGGGGCAGTGGCGGGGACCTTTTTTCCCGCTAGAGTCGGAGACCCGGCGTACCTGCAGGGGCTTTAAGTGCCAGCTTTGTACTCCTATTGGCCAGCTCATGCAAAGACCCTCCCTTGGTGCCTTCCCCAGGGGCGATCAAGTCACGAGTTTGCGTGTATTGGTCGCGCCGTTAACTTAATAAGGACCCACTTCCTTCTTTCCCTTCTATCCTTCCCCACCAAATCTTTATGTGCCTTTCTCTCCGGTCTGGAATCTTTCTCATCTTCCATCATCAATGATCAACAACCCAACCCGATCTGGCGCTACTCTCTAGCGCTCTGAGATCTCTACCATTGTTGATCGGAGCCTGTGGTACAATCTTTGCAAGCAACCCCTGGTGAAATATCCACTGCATTTCTTCATTAATAATTGGAGTAAAGGCAAAGCTGACTTATCCTTTTCCTTTTTGCCTGCCTGTTTCTTACATGCAGCCTACCTCCTAACCCAAACCTATTCACCATTTCCTTCTTCACCATTAATTAGGTAGCCTCACATATGTGACCTATACATATATGTGTTAACCACTTTTTTGTTCCATTAATTAATCCTCACTTCTGATTATATCTGCATACTATCGCATTTGCAGCACCTCCGACACTATGGCGCCGCGAACTAGACGTTCGAAGGCTGCGGGAGACAGTTCTGCAATAGATGGCGCTGGCGGCACTCCTGTCTCGCAGCCTGCTCTTCCTCAACGACGTGGAAGGTCCTCCAAGATCACCGCTATTGATGGCAACTCAACCTCTTCCGCACCAACTCCAGCTACAACTGTTTCGGACAGCGAGTATTCAACCCCTGCAACCAGCAATGCTGTAACTCCCGCGCCTTCTATCACGAAAAAACCTACTCAGTCGGGAAGTAGGAGTCAGTCGCGTTTCGTCGTTGAGCTCCCCAAGCTCCCCAAGCTCCCTAAGCTCCCTAAAGACTCGACTGCGACAGGCGCCAAGTCTAGCGGCCTTGGCTCTTCGACTTCATCTAGAGTCACTACACGCCGCCGGCCTGCCCCCATTGCCTACACTGAGGAGGATTCGGAAGACGATATGGATATGATGGAGGCACCTCGTGAAGATCCTACCCCGGCTAGGAGTACTATGGTTCTTAGTCGCAAGAGACCTAATGTTGCGATGTCTCTTGATTCTGGTGCTGAAAGCGATTTTACTTCTACATCAATTCCAGCTTTCAAGAAGCCAAAACTTACCGACCCTGAAAGTGATAATGAGCCCCACCAAGAGATTGATGATGAGGAGGCCATTGACGACATGTTCGACATCTCCGATGCAGATCCTCTTGATGAAGATAGTTTAGACTCAGACTCAGATAGCCCCATCGCTAATTCGCATACAAATTCACATTCACATACAAATACGCTTTCCAGCCAGCCCCGAAGCTTTCGTCGCATTCGTCACGTTCGTCATCCCCTAAATAGAAAGGAGGCAATGAGGAAGAGGTTGACGAAGCACCATCCAGAGCTCACTACAATGTGGGTTGACCTTGAAAATATGCCCGTTCTCAAGGCCGACAAGGCTGAGCAACCTACCACCATCTCGCGCCAGCTAAAACAATTCCAACTCGAAGGACTTGCCTGGATGAAGGCTATGGAAGTAACAAAGTGGAAGGGTGGTCTACTTGGAGATGAGATGGGTCTTGGTAAAACGATCCAGGCAGTGTCTTTGATCATGTCTGACTACCCAGCCAAGACGCCGTCACTGGTGCTCATGCCACCTGTTGCCTTGATGCAATGGACATCAGAAATCGAGTCCTACACAAATGGGAAGCTAAAGACCCTAGTATTCCATGGTACTAATGCCAAGGCCAAGAATTTGACAACTAGAGAGCTCAAGAAATTTGACGTTATCTTGATGTCTTACAATACCCTAGAGTCGCTATACCGCAAACAGGAGAAGGGTTTCAAGAGGAAAGAGGGAACGTATAAGGAGAAGAGCGCTATCCACCAGATCAAGTTCCACCGTGTGATCCTTGATGAGGCTCATTGTATCAAGGTAGGCCTACAAAATCCATTTTTATCAGCTCCCATGCTAACGGTTTGTTAAAGTCTAGAAACACCATGACTGCGAAGGCATGTTTTGCCCTCAAAGTCGAATACCGCTGGTGCTTAACCGGAACCCCCTTGCAGAACCGAATTGGAGAGTTCTTTTCACTGCTTCGATTCCTCAAAGTTACACCATTCGCGGAATATTTCTGCAGAGAGTGTCCTTGTTCCAATCTTGAATGGTGTGCAGATGAATCGAAGAACTGCTCACATTGTAAGTCTCTACTTGCATACAAGAAACTAGGTGTATTTACTAAACCGTTTTAGGTGGTCACTACATGATGTCACATATCTCAGTCTTCAATCAAGAACTTCTACACCCTATTACTCGCAATGGTAACCGTGGCGAAGGCAAGGAGGCCCTTGGCAAACTCCGTCTCCTTACGGACCGAATCATGTTGCGCCGTCTCAAGCGAGATCATACAAATGCCATGGAACTCCCTGTCAAGGAGATCTACGTTGATCGCCAATTCTTGAGCGAAGAAGAGAACGACTTCGCTAACAGTATTACGGATAACAGTCAGCGCAAGTTTAATACCTACGTAGCCCAAGGCGTCATGCTCAACAACTATGCCAATATCTTTGGTTTGATCATGCAGATGCGCCAGGTCGCTAACCACCCCGATCTGATCCTGAAGAAGAATGCGGAAGGAGGACAAAACGTGATGGTCTGCTGCATCTGCGACGAACCTGCTGAGGAGGCGATTCGATCCAAGTGCAAGCATGACTTCTGCCGCTCGTGTGCGCAGCATTACGTTAATTCTCAGAAAGCACCGGACTGTCCCCGCTGCCACATATCTCTATCTATCGATCTCGAGCAGCCCGAGATTGAACAGGACGCGATGCTCGTCAAGAAATCTTCCATCATCAATCGCATTAAGATGGAGAACTGGACATCGTCGTCCAAGATCGAGCTACTTGTTCACGAACTCCACAGGCTGCGATCGGACAGTGCCTCGCACAAGTCGATCATCTTCTCGCAGTTCACTACGATGCTCCAGCTGATTGAATGGCGTCTTCGACGAGCCGGCATCACGACGGTCATGCTTGATGGAAGTATGACACCAGCTCAACGACAGGCTTCGATTGACCATTTCATGAAAAATGTCGATGTAGAGTGTTTCCTTGTGTCGTTGAAGGCGGGTGGCGTTGCTCTGAACCTTACAGAGGCGTCGCGAGTTTTCATTGTTGATCCGTAAGTTACTTGGCCCTGATCTATCTATGATAAGCGTGTGCTAACTATATTTCTCTTATGTAGGTGGTGGAACCCAGCAGCAGAGTGGCAGTCGGCCGACCGATGCCATCGTATCGGACAGACGCGCCCATGTATCATTAAACGTCTCTGCATTGAGGATTCTGTGGAGAGCCGCATAGTTTCGCTACAGGAGAAGAAGACTAGCATGATCAATTCAACTGTCAACTCGGATGAAGCATCCCTAGAGGCTCTCACACATGAAGACCTTCAGTTTCTCTTCAAAGGATCTTAGTTTTTTCTCCTCTCGTTGTATTGGCGCCACACTTGTTTCGGTGGCGTCATCTACGCCCTCGGGAGACTCGATTCTTGCTTTTTTCGACTTGATTTTTACTTTTTGAGGATGTCGGTTTTCAACTCTGACGATCTCAATCTCAGACTTTTAGAGACGGTAGTCTCACGGCAACGCCACCTCTTTGACAGCTATGATGTCAATTTCACCCTTGAAAACTATAGTCCGTCTTATTTGCGAAACCTCAGTCAATTTTTACGGACAAGATGACCTACGAAGAACGTTCTCATGGACAACAAAATTCCCATTTTTTCGACTCGGCTCTAAACCCGGATTCGATATACACCCCTGATTCGATTTCTCTAGCCTACCTCTCGGCAACGTTAGTCTCACTTCGACTAAGTTGTTCCGGCCTTTGACAAGAATTGTTCTTTGTTTCGGCTGAGATCTCGGGTTTCACTGTGCTTTCTATCGTCGTTTTGTACGATAGGTTCGTACTGGTGGCACAGTATTCTCTTTTATGACAAGTTAAGCAGGCAAGTTAAGGGAGGCATGATTTGGCCCCTATATTAGGGACTCTAGGGCGGCAAAATCGTTGATGATAACCCCTCCGCATAAGTTTTTTCGAGGTGGATGACGCATGGCATGATTTGCAAACAGGTGTCTACGGTTGCTTTATATTGCTGTCTTTCTAGCTAGGTAGCTATGATTTTGATTCACCAACAATACCTAATTGTGCATTCTCATGAATTATGAGAATGCTTCTCATAAGCATCGTATTTTCTTCATGCGTTACCTAGGTAAAGTGAGGTATCTTTGTACTGTCTAACTAAGTGCATTAAACCGACAGATTGGAACCTAAAGGCTAACAGTAGTCCCTAAATTGCCCCACTAAGATTTTGATCGGGGTTATATTCCATTTTCGCCGACATTTTAATCATCCCACTCAAAAATGTATTAGCACTTTTAGCAACTTCACAAGTACATACCTAATGGACTTATAGCGTTCCGTTGCAATTGCAAAAGAAGGGAAGCCTGTAGGTCATGAAGAGCCATTGGGGGGCCTTGAGCCGGCAATTATCGACAGTTAGGAACGGGCAAAGGGCGCGCATCGGGTGGATATGTCAATCATGTAGAAGCAACAAAGCCCCGCGGAAGCTATTCACAAGCAGCGCAGCTCTCCGAGAGCTCAAGGACAAGCCGTATTATGTGACGACGCCTATTTTCTACGTCAATGCGTGTAAGTCCCGTATCAGTAATATCAGTAATATGTAGCAGGTCAAGCATATGCTAATTAGTTCATCTGGAAGCTCCTCACGTCGGCCACCTATATAGCATGCTAATAGCAGATGTGCTCAAGCGATGGCAGGTCCTCAAAGGCAGACAGGCGATACTAAGCACGGGAACCGACGAACACGGGATGAAGGTCCAGCGCGCGGCCGAGCTACAAGATATTCATCCGAAGGCGCTGTGCGATGTCAACTCGGAAACGTTCAAAGATCTAGCTAATAAGGCTAATATTTCGTACGATTACTACATTCGCACGACGGACCTGGAACACAGAGATGCGGTCGAGTACTTCTGGGCAAGACTAAGAGAGAGCGGGTATATATACGAGACCAAGCATGAGGGGTGGTATTGCGTTAGCGACGAGACTTACTACCCCGATTCTATGGTCGAGAAGCGCGTGTCGCCTGTGACGGGGAAACCATTTACGGCGTGCATTGAGACGGGCGGTGCTGTAGAATGGACCGAGGAGAGGAATCACCATTTCCGGCTGACGGCTTTTCGAGATAGGCTACTCAAGTTCTACGCTGATAACCCGAATTGGGTTGTCCCGAACAATCGTTTCGTCGAGGTGATCAGCTGGGTCCAGAATAACCTGGAAGATCTGTCTATATCTCGTCCTGTGAGCCGTCTGGATTGGGGTATTCCTGTGCCTGACGACCCGAGTCAGACTATCTATGTGTGGGTTGATGCTCTGATTAACTACATTACGGTAGCAGGGTATCCCATGTGGCCTCCTGGTTCCGAACATACAAAAGGTTGGCCAGCTGACGTCCATGTAGTCGGAAAGGATATTGTGCGCTTCCATAGCATATACTGGCCCGCGCTGCTCATGGCCCTGGACTTGCCCCTACCAAAATGTATCCTCAGCCACGGCCACTGGCTGATGAGCCGGCAGAAGATGTCTAAATCGGTCGGAAACGTGGTGAATCCTTTCTTCGCCCTCGACCGCTGGGGCGTGGATACCATGCGGTATTTCCTGATATACAACGCTGCGATGGCCCACGATGCAGACTACAGCAATGAGTTTATCGTCGATAAGTACAAGAAGGGACTACAAGGCGGACTAGGTAATCTACTCAACCGAATTACTAGGCCGAAGAACTGGAGCGTGAGGAACGCGGTGGTATCTATGCATGAGAAGCAGTCTCACTCGGTCCCTAAGGTGGTTGATACCCAGAGGAAATACCTGGAGTCTATCGTAGAGAAGGTCTCAAGTCATATGGATGAATTAAATCCCAGCGCGGCGTTGAAGGAGATTATGGAATTCGTGTTCGAGGTGAGTCTCGGGACCTTCATTGCCGCCACTCTCTCCCATCTTCACAGCAGCATCGCAGCATCCTAACACGTACTACAGATAAATAAATTCCTGCAAGAAGCAGCGCCGTGGAACAGGAGTAAGGGAGGCGATACGGTGGCCGTAGAGCAGATCATCTTTTTCGCGGCGGAGTCGGTGCGCGTCGCTGGCATTCTACTACAGCCGTTTATTCCGGAGAAGTCGAGCGAGCTGCTGGATAGGCTGGGTGTTAGTTCCGATCGGAGGACTTTTGAGCATGCGCGACTGTTTGCGGATGGTGCGTATGGGACGCCGGCTATACCGCTGGGCGAAGGCGCGCAGAGCAGTTTGTTTCCGCCGATGCCTGTTGAGGATTGAGGATTGAGCACCTAGTTGTGGTAGCATCTTGTGTATATCAGATACCATATGTATAAATTTGGGTGTGTGCTCTGTTGTATATGTAAATATGTAAAGCTAAGATAGATACCCTATGGCAATTCCCCTTTTTTATACGAAGTATACATTGAACTATTATAGTAGTGGTGTAATGCCTAAGATGTCTTTTATTTTGGTAATAGTTTAGTTCTAGGCTGTTAAAACAATTAAAACAAACACATGTGACTAAAATAAAATAATTTGCGCCTCATATACCTCAGATCTTTCTACAACTACAATTTCTCTCGTCAATCATAGGTCATAGGTACAGGCAAGCCATTAAATTCTTGAATAGAAAAAGATATGCGACATCGACCATATATATAGCTTAGTGAGTACCTACACAAGTTTGACATAGATTGACATAGAAATGAGGTTGAATGAGGATATTGGTGAGTTCTACTTCATCTTTCTCATCTCACCTGGCCGCCATCCAAGGCGACTCATACCTAACGGCCACTACAGCGCCCTTACCTAGGTCCCTTACCTAGGTCCTCGTTCAATCTGAAATAAGTAATCGCTAACACATATCTCTAACAGCCATCTCGACCAGCAAGGTCTTGCTCGTGCCGTACGACGCACACCATGTACAGCAGTACCACAGGTGGATGGAAGACCCCGTATTCTCTCCCTCTCTCCCTTTCTTTCAGTCTCGCTCTATTTATCCATGTCCATGCTCCAACCTTTGTTTCTTCTTCCCCTTACCTATTCTCCCTTTTTTAGTAAGAGAAGTTTATATATGGTATAGTATATACCCGCTAACAACAATCTCCAGTCCATCCGCGAAGCCACGGCCTCGGAACGCCTCTCGCTGGAAGAAGAGTACGAGAACCAGGCGTCGTGGCGTGAGTCGCGAGATAAACTCACGTTTATTGTGTGTGCGCCGCTGTTACGCGGTGGTGGTTCTTTAGATGTAGAGGAGACGAAAGCTGTGCTTGCAGGAGTGGGAGATGCGGTAGATAGGATGGTGGGGGATGTTAATTTGTTTCTGAGTCCTTGGGATGGCGATGGCGATGATGAGGAGCAGGCGCAAGCGCAAAAGGGAGACGAAAAGGAAGCGAAGACGTACTGCACAGCGGAAATCGACATCATGATCGCCGACCCCAAGTTCCGGGGAGTAGGTCTCGGCCGCGCGGCCGTCGCTACGTTCCTGTACTTTGTACGACAGCATTTAGACGGTATCCTGGCTGAGTACATGGGTTCCCTCGACATCCCTACCGCAAATAGCAAGACCGCTACCAGCAAGCCTGTGCTGAAAGATGTCGTGGCCAAGATTAACGCGGATAACAAAGCTAGCATCGTGCTATTCCAAGCCCTTGGGTTTAAGCAAAGAGGCGAGACGAACTATTTCGGCGAGATAGAGATGGTGTTTGAAGGGTTTGGGTTTGGGGAGATAGACGAGTGGGACAAGATGAGCTCTTCTGTGATGGGCGATAGGTATGAAGAGTTGTTTTATGATAGATCGCAGCTGAAGGAGTAGAGTAGATGATGAGCTTTACGGTATTTATGTGCATCTTATTTATACAGATGACTCCCAAACGGCAAATATCACTTCCAACTCTGCCATCTATATCCCTTCAACCCGATACTCTACAGCGAGATATATGCTTCTATTTTACGCCATACTTCTCCCCATAACTCCTCAACATCTCCAACGTAACATTCGACCCTCCACACACAATCACAACCACATTCTTCCTACTCCACTCCTCATCGCTAATCCCCTCGCCTCCCACAACCCTCCTCAAGTCCCCATTATACACCGTAGCAAGCGTAGCACCGCACGCAACCTCCACCAACATCCTAGCATCATCCGCAAACCTAACCGACCCCATCACAGCCTCCGCATCCGTCACCACCAAGCTCTTCAGATGCGGCGCCTCCCGACTCCACCGAAACGTGCGCTCCGAAACCCGCGGCGCCCCCAGACTAGTCGCGATGCTAGTGATCCCCGGCAACGCCACCAGCTCTCCCGCCTTGACACTAGCGTTCAGACTATCCGCGCCCGCGGTCTCGACGGCTAGGACAGTCGGTTCTGTTACGTCGGCGTCGGTGTAGTGCTTCTGCACGCCGGCCATGATCCCGTTGAGTAAGCCGCCGCCGCCGCAGTTACACGCTATGCCGTCGACGTGCGCTACGTCGTACGGGCGGAGCTGCGTGGCGAGCTCGTCGACGATGGTGCTGTTGCCGGCCCAGATGTCCGGGTGGTCGAAGGGCGGGACGTAGACCCCCGACGGGTCGTGGGCGAGGAGCACGGCGCGGAGGTGTTCGTCGGCGAGGGCCCAGTTGGTGCCTACTTGGTGGACTTTGGCGCCTAGGACTGTGGATGGATATGTTGAGGTTAGCTGACTACCTATGTAGTTGTCCCCCTAACTCTGGAAAAGGGGCTTGCACTTTGAGGCAGCCCCTTGAGAAATGCCATGGCTCTATCCATTGCTAAATACAAATCTTTGGTCAGGGGCAAGTAAGTAACTCACGTCGTATCTTCTCAATCATATGCTGGGAAGTAGTCGTCGGCACAACGATAGTACACGGCTGTCTCAGGGTAGCTGCCGCCGTTGCGCACGCCAGGCCTGCGTTTCCGCCCGACGAGCAGTAGAAGTGCACGTTGCCGGCTGGTTTCGCGAGCATCGCTTGGTACATCATGTTTCCTACGGCGCGCGACTTGAACGACCCTGAGGGCTGGAGGTTCTCGAGCTTGAGGAATATGTTGCTGTTTTTCTGTGTTAGTTTTGGAGTTGGTTGAATTAGGCGTAGGAGTAAGGGGGTGAGGAGAGGAGAGGAGTCCTGACCAACCGGCTACTCGTGAGAGAGCTATCGATGGTATACATGGTGTCTCTATGAAGAGCTTCTGAGGCTCCGGGTTGCAGGAGCCCATCTCGTTGGTTTTATTGGTAAGAAATACCAGATGAATATATGTATAGGGTCTTTTGGAACCTAGTTATCGCGCGTCCTTGTATGTCTATCTTAATAACGACAATATCTAGATTGATGTTAGCATTACTTCGCCTGAATTGATGTTAGAGTATACCATATTTACATCCGTGAAGTGTCCAATTTTCTGAATAATTTTCTTAATGCAAAAGTCTAAGCAAATTTTGTTCCTAGATACTTTCAAGAACGAATCCGATTTATTCCATCACCGCTTATAAATCCCTATAAAAGCATTCTACTTTCTTCCTGTATCGGACGAAGCTATACGCAGCGATGACATTAAGGCGTATGCGTAATTATGTCCAATGGGAACATGGGGTAATGTAACACTGCAGGTCCCGTCGATAAGGGTCTAATGCAAAGCTACGGGTGCCCGCTTAGGGCTTATGGAAACGATGGAAACGGCGGGCAGCCGAAACTGGGGAACGGCTTCGGCTACCGTCGATTGCCGATTGCCGATGCTGGCTGCCGTTATACATAATCGTTACCTAACCACTCTGCTTAAGGTAGAACGCCATAATAGTCACTTAATATCTGTTACATCACAGTTTATATATTGGGTTTTTATCATCGTGGTATTACTAGGTATTGTCACCGTCGACCAGCAGTTTTTTCCATATCTTTCAGTTTAGTCTTGTTCCCATTTTTAAACCACGAGCGACTACATTTATGTCCGAAAATCATGCTCAAAAATCATACCCGCAAAGGGGCTGTGCATGGGTTATCTTAGGTTAGGTACTTACTTTACAGTACTTTTATACGGCTAAAATAAATGCGTTGTATATTCATTTAAATTATTTCAGTAAATTTAAACCACAAATTTGATATCGTTTGTGAGGTTATACCTTTTTTAACCACACCATTTTTTAATTAATTAAAACTTGGAATAATTTTTTAAAACAATATCGAATTTATGGTTTAAAGTAAATTTAAAACCCCGTATATTAAAATCATACGTTTAACGTTTTAAAACAATAATATTAATAATATTAATAACATTATTAAAATAATAATATTAACGCGTTTTTATAATAAATAATAATTAATTATATAATAATTATTAACTTTTTTATTAAATTTATTAATTAAATTTATGCGTTTTAAACTTTTTAAAATATTAAAAATGGTTAATATTAATTGTAATATCGGTTATAATATTAATTATAACGTTAACCGTAATAATAATTATAATAATAACCGTAATAAACGTTAAAACTTAATATATAAAATTGTATAAATATATAAAAAAAGTTAAAAAGTTTAAATAATAATATTATTAATTTAAAATTATTAAAAAAAAAAGATTTTATATATAATTATAAAATATTAAATTATTATATTTAAATATTTTATATAAAATTTAATATTAAATAAATAATTAAAACGTTAAAAATTTTTAAACGTTAAAATTTAATATATAAAAACGTAATATTATATAAATATATAAAAAAAATAAAAAATTAAAAAAAATTATAAGGTTTTATTTAATTTAAAACTTAATGAATTAAAAAAAAAAAAAGAAAATTTCTTTTGTAAACTATTTTAATAATATAATTAACATATAAATAAAATAAATATAATAACTTATTTAATAACTTATATAAGTTATTATAATAATAATATTTATTAATAGCTTTTTTATAAAAAAAATTCCCAACGTTTTCATTAATTTAATCTATTATAAATGCATCGCATTTTTTCATTATATTGTCAATCCACCGCATTTGTTACATCGTTAATTTATCGCATTTTATTATGTTAATTTATTACATTTTATTATATTAATTCATCGCATTTTAAAACCTTTTGTTAAATCCGGATTATTATGGAAAAATTTATAACTATTTCTTTAATATATTTACAAATATTATTTATATTTTAACATTTTTAACTTTATTTTTTTTAATTATTAATTTATAATTTTTAAATTTTTTTAATAATGGTTTTAACTTTTTCGATGTAATTATAAATATAATTAATGTTTTTTTTTTTTTTAATCTTTTTAAATTATATATTACCTATTTTAATTAACTATATTTTTATATTTTATTTAATATTTTTATTAATTATATAATTTTTATAAATTATTAAATATTTTTTTTCCATTAAAAAATTTTATATTTTAAATTATTTAATTATTTACATAAAAAATTAAATATTTTTTTAAATTTACTTAATTTTTTAATTTAATTTATATATATTTATTTTATTTATTATTAATTTTATAAAATCTTTTTTAATATATTATTAATAATATTTTTAATATTTTTTATTTATATTTTTACATTTTTAATATTATTATTTTTATTATCTATTATAATATTTTTATTATTAATTTTTTTATTATTTTTAATAATAAATATAAAAGTATTAACGTTATAAATATTAAGTATAAATTTTATTACATTTTTATATAATTATACTTTTAATATTTTTTTTTATTTTTTTATTTATTATTAAAATGTAAGGATTTTTTAATACTTTAAAAATTGTATAATTTATATTAATCTTAATATTAATAATATTTTTATAATATTATTTAATAATTTATTAAATTTTAATAAAAAATTCCCGTTTATTTATATAATTTTAAAATATTTTTTGGCTAAAATGTATAATAAAATTCTTTTATATTACTTAAAATCTTAATTATTTTTTAATTTAATTATATAAACTTTTTATAATTTTACTATTATTTTATAATACAATAAGCTATTATTTAGTTAACCATAAAAGTTAAATTTTATTAATATATTAATAATTTTTTTTAAATTAAATTATTTTTTTAATTTTATAATATATATTATTTCAATTTAATATATTTTCGAATTTTTAATTTATTTTTTTTTAAAATAAAAGCATTTTTTTATTGTTATAAAATAAATATTTTAATTAAAGATTATTTATTTTAATAATATAACTATTTATCCTTAATGGTATACTTTTTTAAATAATAATTTTCCATATTATTTTAATATTTTAACGTTATTTAAATTAACAATATTTTAAATTATTATTAAATTAAGCTAATACTCGCTTTAATTAAATCTTTAAAACACTTTAACCTTAAATATCTTAATCTTAAAATTTATATTAACTAACAATATAATTAAAATATAATTGTAAATATATAATAATTTTATCTTTAAAAATATAATTAAATAAAAATATATAAACTTATGGTGTAAAGATTGTACTTTTAAAGTTTATAATAATAATATTAATATCTTTAAATAATATTAATATCTTTAAATAATATCTTTACTATATTAAATCTAAAAAATAATATAAAAAAAGAAAAAATATTTTTAATAATGTTAATAAAAAAAATTTCTTTTATAATTACTTAATAAGTTTTAATTTTTTAAATTAATTACACTTATTTAAATTAACTACATTTATTTTAATTTAAAAATTAATTTTTAAACTAATATCCCAATTTAAAATTTAAATTTTAAATTAATTAAATATTAAAATTAATTCCACTTTGTTTATTTATATTAAATTTAATTTTACTCCGTTTTTTCATATTAAAATTAATTTTATTTTATTCATTTATATCGAGATTAATTCCATTTTATTTATTTATATTAAAACTAATTCCATTTTATTTATCCGTATTTAGGTTTAATTCCAGGAATTATACCATTTTAATTTTCGAAATTGGTAATATTATTATTAATATAATAAATTACAATAGTATAATTAATAATTACAACGGTATAGTTAATAATTATATTAATAATAATATTATTAACCTAATATTTAATTTTACCTTAACGTTTATTTTTAATATTTCTTTTACTAATTTTTATTTTTTATTTTTATTTTTACTAATCTTTTTATATAATTTTAATTTTTTTAATATTAATTTATTTATTTTATTAAATTAATTAATTAATTTTATTATATTTTATATTAATAATTCTTTAACATACCATTAATTATATATTAAAACATATTTTTTTTATTATATAAAATATTCCAATATTAATATACTTTATTTATTTATTTACTTTTTTAAAAGTTTTTTAATTTTATAAAATAATCATTTATTATTATTACCTTTAATTATAATATGTTTAATTTAAGGTTTTTATTTATTATATAAGTTTATTTTTTACAAAATTTTATAAAATTAAATTATTAATATAATTTTATATATTTTCCAATAATTAAAAATATTTAATTTATATATTAAATTCTTAATATATTTTAATATTATTAGTAAATTAACCTGTTAAATAAATCATTTTTTTAAAAATTTTTTAAAAAAATTATATCTTTTATATAATTTAAAATATATTATATTTTTAACTTTTTAATTAATTAATTTGTAAATTTTATTATATTTTATTTTTACGTTAATTGTAATAAAATCTATTATAGTTTTTATTTTTTTTTAATATAATTTTTTTAAAATATTAAAATTGATAAAATTATTTAGTAATTTTATTATTAAGATTATAATTTTTGGTTTAAACTTATATATAACTTTATTTAGGCTATATTATAATATTAATAATTTTATATTATTAAAATTATATTATAAAATTGGAATAATATTAATTTATGGTTTTTAAAATGCGGCATAATAGTATTTTATAATTATTTTAATATTTTGGTTTTTTTTTTCGATTTATTTATCTATTTATGGATAATAATTGGTTAATATTATCAATTTTATTTTTAATTTTGTAAATAAAGTTTGCCAAAATTTTAATATAAATTTTAGGTTTTTATTAAATATTATTTTTACGGGTAATCTTTAATTATAAAATAAAAAAGATTATAATATTAATAATATTTATTAATTTATTTTATAAATTATATAGTTTA